ACTACCCCGATAGAGATATCGCTCTGCCGACCTCCCGGATCTGTTTGACATCACCACAGTCACAAATTTCACCTGTCGCCTTAATCCTCTCGTTAAAGCGATCGTATCGAATTCCGAGGAACAAAGACCCGGACAGAAGTCAGAAACCATCTTGTTTCCGCGAAACGTTCGTTGGATTATTAACCTTTCGCGAACAGAGATCTCAAAAATAATCTAGTTGGACAGAGTGGGTTTGTGAGACCCACGCGACTTTAAAATCAAAGATCTCGGTTAAAAAAAAAAAACTAATTTCTACCAGAGACACCGATGCGCAAGTTTTAAGTGCATCTGGAAGACTCATTCGTTCGTTCGCGAAGGGTTAAGTTAATTATTATTAGATAGAAAATTATTAAACAGATGCAAATTATCGTTTCGTCCGCAAATTACAAGTGTAATCGCACAAATATTTCGCGCGCGTTCGTAGATCTTCTTACTAGATTTGAATTCCTGAGAAAACTCGCTCTAGCGAATATTGCATTTTGCACAATCTTTCTTTCTCTCTCTCTCTTGCGAAAACTCTCTCAAAACTCCAACGAAAACTCAAAGCGCGAACGAAATTCTCTGCTTCGTAATTAATAAATTCAAAACTTTCTCCGCGTCTCCCACGAATCTCAGTTTCGCTGAACTTGTACCAATTTCCGCGAACTACGGTTGCAACTGCAACAGCGTGCTTCTCTTCCCCCTCCCCCACCTCCTTCTCAGGCAGCAGCATCCGCAACACCGTATCCCATTGCACTTGAGGCCTCCGCGACCTTCGGCGAGGGTTGACTATCTGGAGGTCGCGGACATAAGAGAAAGAACGAGAGAGAGAAAGAGAAGAGGAGAGAAACATAGAACAGAAAAGGTATATATCGAGAATCGAGCGTCGTGTGTGGGTTTCGGTTACGTAGAGTTGTGTAGGCGTTTCGTGTATGTGTGTGTGTGTGTGTGTGTGTATGCGGTACGTCCGTGTGGTACGACGTGCACCCGTCGTTTCCCAGAAGTCGCGATCGCTTACGAGGTAAAGGTAAGGTTGCATGATTCACGAGCTACGTGACCTACAGCGCTCCCTCGTTCTCTTTCCCTTTTTCTGTTACAGGACACATACGCGCGTATATACATAGGGGATATGTGCGCGTAGAACCACACGCGCTTCGAGGTGATGCTGCCGCTGCTGTCACAATAACGTCCCGTTAACGTTCTGTAATGCCCCGTAATGTGGCCGCTGACTAAGCCAATTTTGCCCAACACGTAGAGCTCTAACGCTGCGCTCAGCGGGGGTTCCTCTCTTTATCTCTATCTCACTCCCTCCTCCCTGACGTTCGCGCGATATAGCTCGTTCACTCGCGCGCCAACCCGCCGACCGCCCGCGCATTCTCTCTCCCTCGCGGAATCGCCGCTAATTGGACTTCCAGGTAAGTCACCTGCGTTCCATGGGGAGCGCCTCGAAGAAACGATCCCTCACAGTTCCCTCCTACGCTTCTTCGACGATCCCTATCTCTCCGCTTGCTCGATCGACTCCAAGGTGGATCGAATGCCGAGGTAGATTCTAATAACGGGAGAGAAAGAGATAAATGAAAAATGTTTTACACATGATAAAAAGTAATATCACAAGTAATACCCCAATAAATCGTAAAAATATTAAAAATTATTGCGTTACATAATTTAATCTACGTAATTTTATTATAATAGTTTTTATTCAAACACTCTAACACAAAGTTTAGCGGAAGTCGTTCGAATCGAGTCGAAAAAAAGAACAATCCCGTGAGTGGATGAGAACACAGGAAAACGCGCGATCGGTCCTGCGAGGCGAACTTCATAATACGAAGCCACAAGGAGCTGTGTATAGGGGCAAAAAGCGAATATCGGAGTGGCGCGCGGTGGATCTTTACTAAAAATAAAGAAGCCCCTTCCAGGCCGGAGTAAACGAACTCGATCGTCCAGCCGCGTCTTCGTAAGGAGCCGCCGTGAGAAACTGTCGAGGCACATTGTAATATAGGGTATACAGATAACTGTCAAGTTCCACATTCTTTTACAATTTTAGGAAGTAGTTTTTTTTTTTTTTTTTTTTTGTTCAATCTGTCTTACGCGCACGCGTAACGCGCGTCCGGTCTGATTTTATAAAAAAAATTCGCACGTTATTCGATATTCGCACAATATATTTGTTTTGTTTGATTGAGCGATTGAATTTGTTTTTCGAGAATTCATTTAAACGTTAATGCGTTTCCATAGAAACTCGTCTCTCGTTCCGAGTTTCCATTACGCATTTATAACAAGTGTTAACAGGTTTATAATAAGGGAGAAATTTTTAACGAGATGCGTGTCGCGCGCGCGCGCTCTTCTCTTTCATTTCACGCTAAAACATTGCTTTCTTCTTATATACGTTCTGATCGAACGTTGTGTTCCGCGGCTTTACACGCCTTCACGCATTGGAAGATCGATGTAACCCCGTTTCGAGTTGAGCAACTACATGGCTACGCGCGCGGCGCGCACAGTCAAGTCTTTTATTACATAGCGCGAGATCGGCGAAGGGACCCCTCGGAGTCCTCGCGCACCGCCCTTTACCCTTCGCGAGTCTCTCTTTTCTTTTCTCATTCCCTTCTCCCTTTCTTCGAAAATGTACATTGCGAGAGAGAGAGAGAGAGAGAGAGAGAGAGACAGAGATAGATAGATAGAAAGAGAAAGAGAGAGAGAGAGAGAAGACAGAAAACCGATAATTACTCTCGAGGCGGATCGCAATCCGTTGATTCGTTAATAAGCCGCATGCTGCAGCGATATATCGAAATAATCTCGTCTTGTTAACGAGAGAGAGAGAGAGAGAGAAAGAGAGAGAAGAGGGGAAGAGAGATGTGTAGTCATTAATTAAATAATAACGGTCTTTATGATTTCCGATCTCTTTCGCGGCTATTAGAAATCATTTTGTGCAAAGAAGCAAGAACGCAGACAAGTCCAAGTTTAATTTGGTAAGATTACGTGATACGAGAGAGAGATAGAGAGAGAGAGAGAGAGAAAAGTTTCTTCTCTTTATATCACAGTCTTCTGTTTTTAGATTCCTGTTACATAAAAACGAGACATAAAAGCAAACTCTTTAAATTCGAGATACATTTAAAAAACAATTATGAGTCACGCATTCGGTCAGCGCGTAAACATTTGCCACGAACAGATCAATTTTGAATCATGGTAATTTCAAGGTTTTCATTCGGGATATAAGTATAGAGAAATAAAAATATAAAAAAATATACATTACACTCGTAAGACCAAATCGCGACCAAATGCGAAGCAACATGGAGATTCAAAAACGAATATTTCCCGCGTGCAATTTTTCGTTTGTGTGTGTTGAGCGGCGCAATCAACAATTAACGTACGTATATACGAGTAACGGTTTGCGATATATACGACTCGCGATCGATACGCTCGCTCGTAATAAGCCTGTACGCGGTGCTATTCAGTTTGTTTGCACTTCTTTGAAAACATTATCCTTAATAAGTTAACTCCTTCTTTCACATTGTTGTCCTCGTTTCTCCACGTTTGTGTTTTTTACGCATATAAAACTCTACGTAAGGACATCGCGGGGGGGGGGGGATAGAATTTGCAAAACTTGTGTAGGGTGTTTCGCAAAACGAGAGCGAGGAGATATCGCAAAAGCACGCTGTCAGAGTTCAGTTGGAGTCGCGCGTTGGAGAGAACACACAGCGGAGATCGTCCGGTTTATTGAAAACTTCCTAGGCACGTTACACGCTACATACCCTATTTTGGCGTGTGCCAAAAGTTTAGCCGCTATCGCGCTAGTAATATACAGAATATGTATGTACGTATGTACGGTGGTACAGATGACACACAACGCGTGTAGGAAACCTCGTGTTCTGCTAAATAGACCACTAACTACTATCGCTACTACTGTCGTAGTATGTGTGAGAAAAGAATTAAGAGAACAAACTGAGACCTTTCTCGTACAAATTATATTAAGTTTAATAAACAACTAAATGTTAAGATCGATATGAAAAAAAAAAAATACGCTGTCAATTGTACGCACGTGCAATTAGACGTATTTGTTTTCTTCCTTTCGAACGTGTAAATTATTACACACACATGTGGAGATTCGAATTGAATTTACTTAGAAAATTCACATGCTTGATTTGTGCGTCATATATATATATATAAATATTTAATTTACTCTCGTGTTAAATTTAACATTTCCACTAAAGGAAAGGTGAAAAAACCACCTTGGCCAGAATTCGAGCCCGCATTTTATGCAATAAACATAAATATAGAGAAAAATAAATATAGAAAGAGAGAGAGAGAGGGAGAATACATTAATAATTAATAAATATAAATTAACTTTATGGACGCGCATTTTAATTATGCTAATGAATGATTTAGAAACGCGTGCAATTTTCCGTATACAATTTATGTAATTTACACCGGTAATAAAAATGAGCAAACTAGTTCCCAGTAGAGAACACGAATCCGTTCGCCATTTGGCCCGCGCGAATGAGTCAAGCTCCCCTTCAAATGCGTACCGTTTAACGGACGGATTACTCACCTAATCGGGCCAAGAGCGTGCGATCTTCATCGTCGCAGGGATCTAATTAATTGGATGCGTCTAAAAGAGAGAGATACATGAGCGCGCAAATCTTTGAAACGCGCGACCGCTCCGCGAAACTCTGAGGTCGCGGATCACGGAATTTGCGTACACAGGTTCGCGCAAGGAAGAATTCCGCGGAAAAATTTATACGTCGGTCGATAACGATGTATAAACGATAACGCGTAACAGCGCGCTCGCGATTAAATTGAATAAAAGTTTCTTCAAAATATTTCACATAGTTTATTTTAGATGTTGTAATTTTTCGATGTATAAATTAGGGTGTTAATATTTATACTTATATAAATATAAAGTGTAACGTATATATAAAAATATCGTCTCTCAAACTAATAATATATTTTTTGGCTTGTGCTTATATACGTGTTAGAACAATTCTATGGAATCTTCAAAATAGTTTAATTTACAAAAAATCTGTAAATTTACAGAATGAAATTGCACAAATCTATAAATTTACACAAAGAATAAAATTACAAATATTCTTTACGGTACAAAGTTATTTTCTTACAGCTGTCATATAAATTATAAATTATTGTCAATATATATATATATAGTCTTGTTACAAGAAAAGGTAACTGATCACCATTCGATCGTGCCAGGGATGTACTTGTCGATCAATTTCTCGTAGTAAGGCCATAATTTCTCGATATCGGGAATCTTGCCATTTTTAGTGTAAAGATCGAATTTACTGCAAAAGTTTTCGTTGCATTACATATCAATTGTCGAGGATATAACATTTATTATTATCTATGAGAAAACAAATTTTTTTACTGACTGCTACAATTTATGCGTGTGTTGTCGAAGAAAAATGTAAGTCCATCTCGACGTTTTTTCGTCATATATATAGTTCACGCGATTCGTCATATCAGCAACTTTATAATATATACATACTTGAATTTCACGATCCATTTCAGCATCTCCATGTCCTCCGGAGTGCAAAAGTGCATGTAGTCGCCGCCGGCGTGCCACGGGTAGAAAGAGTGATAGCGGATCATAGTCAGAGCTTCCTTCGGTAATTTGGTTTTGTTGTGTATCAATACTCGGTACAGATACTCGTCGTGTCCCCATGACATTATTAAATTGGATATTCCGCACTTGGGTTTGTACATGCCATACTTTGTACTGCGACAAAACAATATATCGTCAGTTATCAGATCGCGCGTAATATTCGTAATCACAGCACGTAATTATAATTTTTGCGTGCGAAAGCTTCTTCGATTTTTTTTGCGCGAAGCAATTCTGCGTTTAATTTAATATCAGAATATTTTTTATATTCTTCTTTTAATAATTTTTCACACATATAAAATTTTAAGTCAGAGTTTTTTGCAAGTATAATATGTTTCGCGTACTTGTAACGCGAATCCTTGCCGTCGGGATTGTTGTCAAAACTCGTTGATCTGTACACGATGGAGTCACCCCAAGCGCAACCGACGGGGAACGTGTCACCAACCACGGCCCATTGGGGTTCTCCGTAAAACGCCATCACCTGGAAACGCAAAGTGAAATTTGTTATCCAATTTGTAACGTTTCGCAATTCAACGTCAACTCGACGAGTTTATTTAAAACGAATTACACTTCGCGTTTTCATGCGCGATTTACATAATTCGATTCGTTATTACCTTGCCAAGATCGTGAATCAGACCGGTGAGATGGAACCAGTCCAAATCTGGATGAGCCTCTCTGATGGATTCTGCGGTTTGAAATGCGTGAACTATGTTCGGCATATTGGTGTCGGGATCGCTTTCGTCCACGAGATTGTTCAATTTGAGCAGAGCGTCTTTCACCGTCATTTTAAACTTGTCGAATTGAAGCCAATTCTTCATGCGCGCTGCAACGGGAACGGCGATTTCGTTATTCCTTTTTTTTTATTCGGAGCAATAAACAATTAAAATGTGTACCATAGATTTCGAGTCGAATTTTTTCTCTCGGAATAACTGATATATTCGTGTGCTAATTATTGTCAAATTGCAAACTGCGCGTCGTCAAAAGGAAATCTTAACAAATCCTTGCAATTCGGAAATAAACGGAATTCTTCTTATGCCAACAAGAAATGTAACGATTAATAATTTTTCTTTTTACTAACATCTCACAAACTCGACAGTTTGATTGGTGTGCATTGCTTCGTATGTTTTGCGAACGCGTTCCTTGACAGGATCCTCGGAATCTTCGTCGAAATTTCGAAATTCTCTCTGCAGTTTTCCATCATATACCGGCTCGGGTCGCAGGTGCTCCGACGGGTCCATAAGTGTGACATGATTTCGGCTTTGTTTCTTCAATACGTATATAAAAAAAAATTGTTTACTAATTGTTTAATCTCTATCCGTATACAAATTAGTACGTAAATTAACTAAAAATTAACGCACTTTCAAAATAAATCGAGATTATAATAGCTTCGTACGTTAGAATATTTTTTTCATTATTTCGTCATTAAAAAATGTGATAAACTGATATCATCGACTAATAGAAAAAGTTATACGATATGTGTATATATTGACACAGCCCCCTAAAAAAACATTCTTCTTCCTGTTTCTTGGAAATGAAACAATATCTTTCGTAATTATTATTAAATACTGATAGGAATGTGATACGTGCTCAGATAATTAATTATGGGTTTTTTCCGTTAGTACGGAAAAAACCTATAATTTATACGCGACTTTTTATAAAAAAATTCCGTAAAATCAGCAAAACAACAGGATTTTTGAAATGCGAAGAAACATATTCTTACGAGTTCGAACAATAATAATTTTTTTAAACAATAGTGAATGTGTTATTAATAATATTACATGGCATTTTACGTGTTCATTCAGCTTTCTATACAATTTTATTTTACTTTTATTTTTATCTTTTTTTTTTATAATACGGTTTTGAAACCCACTTTCTCAGACGTGTTCGTTTATTTTACGAAAAAGCCAGTTGATGCAAAACTTGAAACATCATAAAAACTGCGACATCATCTGATAAAAGACACTTTCTAGTTTGTTTCCAAAGTTTTAAGATTTTGTTTGAGCGCATATAGTACAAAAACAAAGTGACATGTCGGTATCAGCAACTTCTTCCTCTATTAATTACCGTAGTAGAACATTATCAGCATTGATATGTGTATGATTGACATATAATTGATATATAATTAATCTAATCACTATATTATTAGTCTTACTACTTTTGATTGAGCGGTTTGGTTTCTGTGCATCGGTAATTAATATAAATTGATGTAAAATAAATAAATATTATGCCGCGCAGAAATTACAAAGTACTGTTGTCTCTACCGAGACGTTTTGCAAACATTTGGTAACGGTTACAACAAGAAGAAAATGTATTTGAAATATCTTAGTGTTTTCCAGTGTTTCTAATACACAAAATATTTATTTATTCTTGATATCTTGTGCGATTGTTTACGTACATGTGTATTGTGTAAATTTCTATATAACACATAATAGCCTCCCTGTTTCATTTTATCTACACAACATAGATAAATGCTGACGCACACAGCAAAATCTATGTGATTTTTTGTCTCAGAATTAACGTCAATATTACATTGTGCAATCACACTTTCATCGGCGTTTTCTTAAATGCAAATATCTTATTTTGAAGATAATAGATAGACGAAAGTGAACTACCGGGATCCTCGTGGCATTTGCAAAAAGTTTTGTTTAACGATTAACGTTGTGAAACGTAAAAAAAAGTTTTTTATAGATAAACGATGTGATAAAATTTGTAAAATGTTAGAAATAATAAATAATTATATCTAAATTTTTATATAGATATTACACGCTCTCTTTTGATTTAGATGAACATTTAACAACAAAACTTTAATAGTTACAATTCAGATGCCTTTGATATTTATATACACTAAATTGTAAAATTTGATTAAAACTCGTGTACTTACAGCAGTCGCAGCAGACATTGTTCGAAGGTGTTTTTGCAACCGGAAGATGCAACTGTTGACTGACTTGTGTCCTGCGTATGCGACTGCGAGTTAATTTATAAAGCCAGAGACATATCACCCTTGATCCCCACATCGTCGAAGTGGTGATCACGCTCACAGATGTCAAACCGTTGCCGTTATCACACAAATTCCCCCCTTCCCTTCCTCGCTCTCTTTCCCTCTGTTCCCCACTATTCACATATATTGTAAACACATAAATTCAGCAAACGATTTTTGTATTCTTCTTCGATACCGACCTTTCGCAATTTATATTTACTACGTATTGCACGATTTCTTTTTTTTGCACATATAAACGCAACTTACTATTTATGTAATACTTACTATTTATGTAATACGCGGGAAATATACAAATATAAATTTATACAAAACTTTGTCTCTTTGATTCGGAGATTAATCAATATCTAAAAAACTTGTTTTAAATTGTTATTTTTGTCAAAAATTATGCAACAAAGAAAAACACATAGGTAGATCGCGATTTATGTGTTTCGATACACGCGCAGACACAGAGAAAGAAAACAGGAAATGTGTTGGATATTTTACTAATCTGCGCAATATTTATACACAATTGAATGCTCCAGTGTGGGCGAATTTATTTATTAGCTACTTCGAACGTGACTCACAAACGTGTCTTTTTGCTTCTAATGTAAACATCGCAACACCGTAACGACTTGATTGCAATGTGTGAGGAATCGGGAGTTTTAAAAATAGAATATGGTATAATTATTGTGAGATAAAGAGCAGAAAATTGGACTGGAACCAATATGGAATATTAACTTATCGTCAGTTATGAATGACATCCTTTATGTGATGAAAGAAATTGTGACCGAGCCGCGCGAGTCTCTGCGAGTGATACTTTGAAAAAATGTACGAGCGGAATTTCTTTATTTCAGCGATGTGTTCAATGAAGGGTTTGTTTCATTTTCCTTGTAACATCACATTTATATGCGTACATACACATACGCTCGTTAATATTTCGTAAAACACGGCACGATGAAAGAAAAAAAAAAACAAGCTAAGTGTTCTGGAGATCGTAAAACAAAACAAAACTATCAGCGAGACAAACGTGCGTGAATGCCAATAATAGCACTTCTAAAAATATAAATTTCTAAATCATCTGACTATAAATCAGCGATTTATAACACTGAGAATGGTGAATAGCTTCGTTTAACCGCGTTAAAACTGGATCGGGATTTCGCGATCGAGACGATCAGTTGACACTTGGCGCAACGAACATATATTGCGCGCGAATGATGTCAAATGTATAATATAATTGATGCCACGCCGCCGCGGTGAAATGGATTCAATTGTTGCGCGTTTTATGGGTTACGCGCGTGGCACGTTTGTTTGTTTTTCTTTTTTTTTATTATTTCTCTTTGATTTGCTCCGCAAATAATTTCAGTCACACACACCGTCGCTAACGTTTTATTTACGATTTATACGCTTGTGCATAAATGACTTGGCGAAAATGTGACGATAATGACGGTCGATTTACGTTTCAGTACTGATAAACGATATTACTTGCGATTTTCGAGCTGCGCGTGGAAATATCCGACTCGATAACCTTTACATATTGCATAATCATCTCGGTCTTTCGTATCGTGTAATGTTACTTAGAAAACCGAACATTACACGTGTCTCGTGATTCGAAATTAAAAAGTTTCAATTTAATTTCAATTTGACGACGACACGTGTAATGTACGGAATGATCGAGCACATGCGTATCTAACGACCGAAGAGGAACATTACGCGTGTCACATACAAATTGAAATTAAAAAAAAATTTAAGTGCAATTAATTTCAACTCAACGGTAACACGTGTAATGGTGTAACCGATCGCTTAATTTAAAATTCCGAGAAAGAGAGAGAGAGAGAGAAGGAAAAATTAAAAAAAATGAAAAGAGTGAAAAATGTGAATTCGGCGCGTACACACGTGCACAGAGATAACATAATACACGTTGGATAGAACTGAAGAAGCAGGTACGCGTTTTTGTTATTTTATATAACAAAAATTTGTATTAAACTTGCCGTTACAATATACACGCGATTATATAAAATATATATATATATATGTATATGTAGGTGATGTGTTATATACGTATAATATATCGAATATAGCGTATGTACAATAATTGTTCGTGGTGAAACTTAATCGAAGTGATATCATTACGGTGAGCTCGAGTCCGAGTAGCTCGTGTTGCTTCCTCGCCGTCGCGACATGTGTCGTTGTCTGTGGGCGGGACTGCGCGAACGAGATCTGTGTCGTGACGATGATTTCTTGGTCTTCTTCGACCGATGTGAACGCGATGAGCTCGAACTATCGTAACTGCTAAAATGACACACAAAGTAATAATTTAATAATTCATGTTTATTATTTAACCAAGAGTATCTATATCTCTTTTTATTGATCTTTTTTCTTTTTGTTTCTCAAATAACTCCTTGCAAGTAAAAAGGCCAATTCACTACCTTCGATGTGAACTTTTCTTTTTCTTGTGCTTCTTGTGCAATTTGTGTCTGTCCGTGCGGCTTCCGCTACGACTCCTGGAACGCGGTCGCGATCTCTTGCCGCTTAAGTCAGCACCCTTCAGCCGATCCATTAAGGAATTATTACACGTTCTTGTATCCTGTGAAGATTTGTTTTTGCTACCCTCGAGAGACGGTGACGGTACGGAGCGCACCTCGTCTAAATCGTCCTTTCGCGAGCTCGGATGCGCCGTGGTGGCAGTGACGGAACCGGTTTTAAGCACCGGTGCTTGGATATGACTAAGAAATATGGCCGCCTTTTTCTTTCTCTCCAGCTGAAGCTGACGTTCCCGGGACAACAGCTTATCTCGCGCCGCCGCTACGAGTTTGTCTTTGATCCGATCTTCTTGCGCCCTCATTTCCTTCTGACAATCTTCCAAGACGTCGTCCGTCAAATCCACCAGTTCTTTCGCGTCATATTTCGGTTTCTTTTCCAATTTTGCGGGATCTTTGTCGCTGGTAGGATTCACATCGGCGATGCCGTCCTGAGGCGAACCAGGCTTGGAATTCTCATCTTTTTTTTCGTTCTCCATCTCTTCGTCGCTCTCCTCAAGTGGCAACGCGTTTCTCTTTTCTATAACCGTGCTATCTCCGTCTTTTGGCTTCTTGATGGAAAACGATACGGTTGTAATCTGTTTTCCCGATCCGGTGCTCTGCTTCGTCTTTGTGTCGCCATTTTTTTTCTTCGCCTGTATCATCTTCACTCGCTTCTGCACCTCTTCCATTCGCTGCTGTTTCTTCTGCAGTTCCTCGAGCTTCTTCTGCTTCTCTTCCTGCGGCTCTTGCTTCTGCAGCAACTCTTCTTCCGTAAGTACTTTTGGATTTATCGCACCCTCGCACATTGTGAGCTTGTGCGCGTAATAACCGTGATACTGATGCGATAGTTCCAGAAAGTTGAATCTAGGATCTCCCTTATTCTTCACAATTGTCTCAAAGTCGCGACCATTCTTCGCCACGTAACTTGCCATCTTGTCGATGATAATCTGCACCTCAGCTGGCGGCACGATAAAGGAGGGTCTACTGAGTGGCTTCTGCGTAGGTAATCCGTACGGTACTAACGGCACAGGTGCTTCTTTGGGTGTGGTTTGCGCCGCAGTTACATCGTTAGGCATAGTCGGCAGACCGTGTGTCGTAGGTGTTTGCATCTGCCCGTTTGGTCCATATATAACTGGACCGTGCGAATATTGCATGGGTGCGGGATAAGAATAACCCTAACATACAAAATTACAAGATAAATCACAAATGACGTAACGTGATCTTCAAGAAAGTCAGCTTAACTTTGTGAAAAAAAAAAATCGTAAAATTAAACTTAAGAAAGAAAAATTTGATTAATATTGCAATTGCAGTTCTACTTTATTGACGAGACAAATTTCGTACTTGTACGGGCAGTGAAGGGTAGTATCCTGCGGATGGGATTGGCTGCTGAACTGCCGGATCTGCTGGCGGTGGTGCTTTAGACGGTGGTGGTTTACCCGTGATCTTATTCACGAGCATGGAATAAGCGCAATCCGCCGACGGCTTGTACTGTATGCTTGGTATGCTTGGTGCCTATAAATGGAAGAAACATTCTTATAGTACGTTCTATATTTAGCTCTTACCCTAGATTTTTCCTACAGTTTATATACTGAAGTATATAAATTTAGAAAACTCTACGGGAGTTGTGTTCTTTTTGTTATTTTTTATTGAAGAATGTCTCTATACACAAGACTATAAAAGGGAGATTTGTGAGCATTTACTTCAGATTATCACTACATATTACAGTATTGCGCAACATATGCCAATATATCGCGTAATACTGTAACATGTAGTAAGAATTATTATATATTCGTGACAATTTTAACTATATTTATTTAAGCTGCCCCTTCGGTTTCTTCATCGACGATAAAATGATAAATTATCGCGGTAGATAATTGTTGAGATTTATATCGCACACGCGCGAGAAAAAGGAATCGCAATAAATTTAAAACACTTTGCAGATAAAAGAATAAATAAAAATGCAAATAGGTCCAATGCATACCGGAATCAGCCCTGGAAGCAGAAATATTCGACACATAAATTAGTAATGAAGAATATTTATTAACATTTCATCCTATTGAGAGATCTCCGTGAATTTCAAGTGAGTGCCATTCTAAAAGTAATTCAGCGTGTGTGGTCCGGCAAGGATCTTCCACATTTCGAACTACTCCAAACACAAAACACTCTTCCAAGAACGCAGGAATCGCTTATGCATTTTCAAGAACAGATTAATATACGACATGCAAGTGGAGCAATGTAAAACTGTGTAAAACATACCGCTTCAATTTTGGTAAGTGACGACGCAAGGCTTGGATGTAGGTACGGTTCGTCATCTTGGTCTGACTCTTCTTCGGGTTCTGTCATTGGAAAAAAAAGAGAAAAGAACAATGAGACTCGCGTATATTAAAGAAATCAAATAAGTTGACGCATGGTGGTCCACCAGCTGGTAATTAACAAAAATTCATGTGGCAATACTTACGGCAAGAAAAACTAAGTAGAATCAAAGTAGGTGTGGGTAATCAAATCCTGCTTTATGTTGCTTCAAATTACTTCAACTCAATAATGTCAATATGAATTACCATGAGACATTACTTTTTATATAAAATAATAATATGCTTACCTGTTTCTTCTTTCTCAGGTTGTTTTTCGGGATTATATTTTCCGCTCTTGATCGCATCGAGGACAAACTTATAATATTGATGAAGCGGCCCGTCTATCGCTAGGAACGCAAACTGTGGATTATTTGCTTGTTTCGTCTTTATCAGGATTTCCATTTGGCTCCCGTGTTGACTTATAAACAACGCCGTTTTCGTTATAATGGCATTCAACTTCTGTGTCTCCGGCTAAACAAAAAAGTACACAAAAAAAAATGTTTATTGTGAAGTTGTTTGTAAATAAATTGTCAATAAAAAGTATTATATACGTCAAAAGTGAAGGTAACGTACCAAGATCATCCCCTCGGGAATTTCCAATTCTGGAGGCGGTACAAATGCCTGATCTTCTTCCTGCGAGCCCTCCGATTGTTTGGGGCTTTGCGAGTCCTCGCCAGAGGCCTTCTGACTGTTTTCATCTTCGTTGTAACTATATCCCACTTGATTGTAAGATTCAGAATCTAGCGCTTGGTGTAACCGTCTTATTTCTTCTTCTGCAATGAAACATAGTCACGCGATTATAAATCTCTTTCTTTTATGTGGATTGTGAATATTATTTGAAAAAAAAAGAATACGCGTTACCATGATACGTCGATTCTTCCACATCGCTGTTATAGAGTGACCGATAGCGCTCCTCATCGCAGAGTTGCTCTACTTTCAGCTCTTCTTCCGTAAGTATCGTCCGCTGATCAAAACCACCTGGTGGTGGTTCGTGAATTCGTAAGTCGGCCAGTGCTCCTCGCCCATCGTATCTATACACATACAATACATCCATTAAAGAAGGAAAATGATAATGTTTTAAATTGAAGTGGCAGTTGACCAACAGCATCTGAAAATTTTAAAACAAGGAGAAAGCCCCACCGAGCGATATTTCTCTCTGAAATAGAATGGAACTGTAAAAGACATTGCACAATGTTTTTCTCTATCTCCATTGTATAATACTTCAGTAAAAGAAAATTTAATACTTTTTAACGAGTAACACATAGTATGTATAGTTTGTATTTTAAAAAAAGAGTAAGCAGAATTATACATTAATTTTGCTTCTAATAATCTAATTTTATTTACACAATTTACTGTTTTATATTTACACAAGATGTAAAAACACATATATATGAACAAAAATATATATGTATATATATTCCAATTTATACAATATCAATGTACATAATATCAATATATATATATGAATTAAAATTTTTATAACAGTAAAAACATTTACATAATATCTTTGTATCTTTAATATAAACATGTGTATACATATATATGCACAAGCATTGCGATATGACAATATAAATTATTGGAAAAATGTATACAAACTGTATGTAAAACTGTAATATATTTCAAGTATGCGACAATATATATACCCTAATTCTTCCTGAGTCAAATCTAATATGCTAATATACATACCGTGCTGAACAGTTGTACAATTACCTACAACCGTCAGCCTGCCACTTGTCTGTCTACGCCGTGTCTCACCTTGCTGCTGAATAAGACGGCCAGCCGCTGTGTCGTGAGAACACCTGACTCTGCAACCGTGCAGAGCGCGTATAAATCGCGCTGCCACACTGAGAGAACACCTGCGGAAGCCTTAAACAGTCTCCAGTTCGCTTATCCAGAGATTAACCATGTGAGAAGACCTTATTTTGCATTTTTTTTTATTTTAAGTGAGCACTCGGGTTTTAATACATTTGTCGGAATTGATTTTTTTTTTTTTTTTAATTTTGTTTAATTTTTTTATTTTTTATTTTTTTTATCTGTATCAACCGTTTTCGTCGGAGAAACGTACCGTTACTGTATGATTCATAGTCTTATGCATGAGAACAAATATCCTAGATGAGAAATTTGTCTAGGTTAGAGAAACGGACCTGTCTATCTTCAACGTGCTATCGCCCATCCATGGTATCAAATGCTTTCCCTGATCAATCATTTTCGCCTTGTCATCATCGCGAAATAATTTGCAGCTGTATCCGAAGACCAACAGCTCCTGCGATTCCTCGTCGGTATTCTTTTTACGCAGAATGCCCGAATCTACCATCCAACGTTGGGTTTTCGACGACGCCATTTTCGACCGTGTGTGCTCTCGGCTGCCCGCGTACCGCAGAACACGTTCGCACCACGAACCGCACACGACTACAAGTGCAAACTTGGTTGCAACTATCTACAAATCGGAGCCCAGGTATCAGTTTGGTTTGGTGCTCTTTTGGCTCAGTAGACCTATAAAGCTAGTCCATACGCCATTCTATGTCTTTTTGATAACAGGTTTAAAACCGTGGATTGGGTTCCTGACGCCAAGCCACGGAGTTGTGCATTTGTTTAAATTAAAGATAATAATAAAGAAAGTGGTGTAAAACACCGACAATTGTCCAAAAATATTCACTGCGCACATCCAACCGATATGGCTGATGCAATCCAACTTCAGCCCAGGTATCAGTAGACGAAATCGGAACGTAAGACAATTATGACAAGCAACTCGTATGATGGGTGAGAGAGCGTCGTAGCAAGTACGTAACCGCAACGAGCGCCATCTGTGGTTTCGTTTCGGAAGAAACCAATGAAACACACTGGGATTTAATTTCTGTCTTATGGTGGAAAAAAAAAAATTATATTTAAAAACGTGCAAATTTTCTAACTTGTCGCGTTTTTTTTTTTTTTTTTTTTTTTTTTTTTTTTTTTATTTTTTTTACGAACAAACGCCGATCCAACCGACCGATTTGTGTTGTCGACGTGCGTAATGTATTTATATTTAAAAAACTCGACACCAATGTCCGCCATTATGCGCCTCTTCGCCTGGCCTTGCATTATGGCCGCTGCGCTCAGCTGGCAGTGACTCGATTGGTGGTGGACGAGCAGAGCGTTAAATGGATACGTGCGTCGAATGACTTATTGTTGTGTCCTGGCTTGGGATATCTCGATTGTGCTCGGTCGGGGAGCGCGTTTTTTCGCGCACACATTGGTCCAGTGACGAATGTTATTGTGCAACGACGACGGGACGAGATCTGGAGCGAGCGACGTAGCCTAGATAAGATGGCAATAAGCGCTGTCACACGGGTATCGAGCATCGTCATTGCGCTGAACGGTCTTCTTCATTGAATCCGCCGCGCGCACACGGACAGAGAGATCGAGATCGGGAAGGAGATCGCGCGAATGCGACACGAGAACGGTGACAAACAGAGCTGACAGCCGCCCGTCGATCGCGCAAACATGGGCAATTGCCTGAAGCGTTCCGGTAATCAACAGGACAATACTACTCTGCTGAGCAACAATCCCGAGACCAATGTGTCCACCAGCGGATCCTCGCAGGAGGGCCTTGGACCGCCGATCTACAACGTAATTCACGCAGTTTGAGAAGCGGTTGTTTTTTTTTTTTTGTTTTTTTGTTTTTTTAGATCCCTGATTTTTAATTGTTATCTGCTTCTTCATCGATTTGCGATTTTGTTTTTTTTTTCTTCTCTTTACTGCCTATCGTGTTTATTTCACATTTGAATATACGCGTAATAAAAAAGATTAAAAAATTGACATTTATATTTCAGAGTTAAAATTCAATCAATCGACTCGAGGAATGTAATTTACACTTTCTCTTAGTAATTTTTAATTAGAGCTGCAGCGATATACATAATTTTGTAGACTTTTTTTTTATTTTTCTCGCATTAGAATTGAAACATTAAGTAACAATTGATTTCTCACTTGTTTCTACAGCAAACAATTTACTACCCGTCGGTTGCCTCGAGGGAACGCCAGCTGCAATCCACCAATTTGAACATCGGTCATGGAATCGGTGTCAATCTGGTGCCAAGGGATCCTTTCACGGAGGAGGATATGCGGCAGCAAGTGAGACTCGCCAAGCGTATAGGACTGATACAACATTTGCCCATAAGGGAGTACGACGGCGCGAAGAAGGGCGAATGCGTGATATGTATGATGGAGCTGCAAGCTGGCGAGGAAGTGCGCTATCTTCCCTGTATGCACACTTACCATGCTATTTGTATCGACGACTGGTTACTACGTTCATTGACCTGTCCGTCCTGCATGGAACCAGTGGATGCGGCGCTAATAAGCTCATATCATCCGACTACTTAATAACGGAGTGACTGGAATTCTATTGGTCTGACAAATTGGTAAATTGGAATTATATTGAACAGACTAAACGTGTGAAGTAAAACTGAAAAAAAAGGAGAGAGAGCGAGTGAGAGAGAGAGAAAGAGAGAGTGAGAGAGAGAGTTGTGTCTACTTCTATAGAGCATATAAAGGCTTCTGAGACATAGAAAGACGGTATATTCCGCGTCGACATATGCGTGCGTGTTGGTTAATAATCTGTATCACATTCTATTACATCTGCAAGTATTTTTTTAGATTACTATGCGAGTGTGTGTTCGAAGAGGTCCTTATTTTAATTAAATATTACCAGAATAAGTGAGTGAGTGAAAGGGAGAGAGAGAGAAAGAGAGAAAAACATCACACCTATGAAATTCTTCGTTTGCATAGTGAATACAACTGAATTAACTGCTTGTATATTGATTTCCTATTAGAGAAAGAAATGGGAAGTGGGAGGATACAGCTCGATGTAAGTGTGCAATAAAGTGTTGAGTAAGCCTCATGTACATTAGATATAGTCTAAACAAATATACATATGCGTAGTGAGAAGACAAAATGTGCGGGACACGTGCGGAAATTATTATATTCTTTATATTACAGTTTTTTTTTTTTCTGATATCTCCCCCTCGTATAGTGTAGATATTCTTTGCGTATAGCGTTTTTGACGAAGTTGTTTCTTTTTTTTTTTTTTTTACAGAAATTTTAATCATGTTCTCGAAACATAACACACATACCTGTGCTTTCGAATAATTTCGAGTGAGATAAATTGCGCGAATTACATTACAAAGTTTTAGAGTGAAAACTGTTGCTTGTTCGAATTATAAATAACGCACGAATTGTAGACACTGCGAATTAACGATTTTCGCGACATTTACAGTCTAATCTATATAAAAAGACGCGATTCCATTGTATCTGTGTAATATGAAAAAAAAAAAAAAAAAGACTGACAATGTCTGTATTTTTTATTTTCTTCTTGCATTTCGCATGTGTCTTTAACGAAAAATTGTTGCGCGAACTGCTTCTGTCGCTATACGCGACCGATTTATTAACATTTTTTCCAAGTCTTAGAGAACACGTATGTACAGAAAGAAAGAAATGGTTTACCGTATGTGACCACGAATAATTATAGCGGTTTGTTATATTAAATTATAAACCCTTCGTAGATCGAACACGGTCAGAGATTTAAGATCGTTGTTTTTATATTGCGCTTTATATTGCGTTTCACATTTACGCGTTTATTGAAAAATCCGCGCCTTTAACACACGCCTTTAACACATGCGAGAGACGGACACACGCGTGTGCAGTTACAAGCAATTGTGATCTGAGCAGAGGTCGACGATTTCACATTTTAAGAAAGAAAATGATGATTTTTGTTCTTCAGATTTTTGTGAAGAAAATGTTTGATATATTTTTACGCTATAAATTTGTGTCCACATTTGTAAAAATATTACCCGCTATTAATAATAGAAAAATTTACGCGATCATTTGAACTGACACGTTGTCAATTGACATGATTTTGTACATTTTTGTTACGAATTATGTATTAACAGTTTACATTTCTTTTTTTGTGTAAACTTACATATTTTTTATGTTATACATCTACATTGATTATCTTAAATCTTGATGTTTTCTTTGAAGGGTTATTAAAAACTAAGTCACATATATAGCTGAATTTGATTTGTTAAAATAAAAACTAAGAAAAAAATAAAAATATAAAAAAAATATAAAAGTTTTTTTTCTTCAAATCAATGTCCATTTTTCCTACATCTGTGGCAGAAAATCTCTCCCAATTTCGCGTTCGATTCCCTCGGTTGTAACTAGAGATTCGACTTACGAAGGGTTAATGATACATGAAAATAATATAGCGATGTGAATAAAACATGAAAAAAAAAAAACATAAATTAGAAAAAAGGAAAAAAATAATCAATCACCACAACGCAACGCTAACAATAGACTTTGTTGTTGATTTAGTCAGGTTTGTTGAACTAACACACACACACACACACATACCTTTGCTGTAGTTACAATAAAACAGTGAACATTTACCGTTTCGCTAAATAAAACTCTACAAAGACGTGTGCTTAGTTTCGTAATACGTTGAAAATGTATAATAACGAAGAGTAATAAAATTTTTTCCGAGACTTGAGACAAAAGCAATATTTTGGGTCAAGAGAAAAAAATTGAATATTCAATTTGAAGGAAGTAAAACCAGAACGCTTTACCATACGGTATTGTCGCTTTTCTGTTTTTGCTAAATAGAGAAAATTTATGCTATAAAATAGTAATTTATTGACAAGATACAAAACTATATAAATAATAATTTAATACACAAATACAAAATTATTTATCGACAAATACAAATTGTCAATTTAATAACCAAATAGGTTTTGTTTCGAAAAGATCGTCTCTACCGATCGGTGGTGCATTTTTTTGTTTTGTTTTTTAAATAGAGCTAGATTTGCAAATTCTACAAATAGAAAATGTGTGTAGCGTAATTTTATAAAAGAAAATACGCCAAAAAAAAAGTAACTTAATTCTACTTGATACTCTAAAATAAACGGAAAGGAAGAAGGAATTTTGGACGGATTGAGATAAGCGCGTTACATCGCTCTAATCAATGTATCGAACACTGTTGTGCGATCAATCGTGGACATCGTCACTTGGACAATCGTTGGACTATACATGTACGATCATAAAAAAGTCTCGAAAATGACAATTGTGTATTTCATGTATGTGAGGAAAGATGATGATAATAAATTATTTGATTAGGAAAGAACGTGCGTGTGTGTGCGACTATACACATCGATAAATGGTCTTCTCGCAAAATTAGAAAACCTTTGTTTGTTATATTGGAAATTCGATATTGCAATTCCCGATAACGGAGTCACACATTCAATTAAGGAGAATTGAATTAAACGTGACGTCATAATTATAAAAAAGTATGTATAATAAACGTTAATAATGCTACTATTTACAATTGATTTATCTCGAAACTTTCACAACTACTGAGGAGAACTACCGGTGTTGTGTTATTTAAAGGCAGCGTCTCTGTTAAGTGCTGTAATAAGACTTTTATTTTCTCCGTCGGTATAAAAATATATAAATAATAAAAAGTATTAATCCTTTGACATTTTCTCTCATTATGTGCTAATGAAAAGTTTTCAGAAATGAAAAAGCTAATAACGACGAGTTTCTCGTGCTAATCTATCAGAAATCCGATTTGACAATAATACAAACTTTCTGTTATAAATTTTCATCTTCTGTTATAAACTTTCTGTTAAATTTTCATAATTTTCTTCCGTGCCGAAATAAACTTCTAAATTTATACGTTGATTCGTAAAAATTTTTGAAGTTTTTATATATATATATATATATATATGTTTTTTTTTTTTTTAAATAATTTATATACTAAAAGAAAATAGAACATTTCAGTTAATGAGATATGCATTACAAACGTTTTAGTTTTATGAGATATATGTACATATATCGCAATTATTATTGAAATATAATAAAGTTACATTTACAAAGAGAGTTACATATATATCTTACGTGTTGTTCGTCAAATTGTACAGAAAATTCGAGGTATAAATAATTTTTATTTTCCCTATCTCTCCTAAGTTGTATATATAATAAAGTTATTTCAACTGGTGCTTTGGTTGTGTTTTATTAGCACCTCGCGAAAGAGCAGTTTAGTTTTCGAGAGAACAAATGAGAATTTATTCCCCTTTTGTACTAGTTCGATTGTATATTTATAAAATCCCAGGATCTCACCGAACAGACATTTTTTTTTTTTTTTTCGTCTCTTATTTTCTATGTGTAAAACAATTTTTGACTAAAAAACTAATATAAATTAAAGACAATTGTTGTCTTTCTAAATCCATCGAAGACGGGACTGGTGAAAGAGGTTTTTTTAATCGTTTTTTGTTTTTTGTCTATTATATATAAAAACACAAACTCGGCGATCTGTACATTTACATGCGATATGTTACATAGCTAGCAAAACATAACTAACATCCGGAACAATTTAGATTTCGCACAAATTTTTGTTTTTATACATTACGAAATATATTCTTCTATTTTACACGACGGACAGGTTGTTTTCCGCGATGGAAGGATTCTCGTAGAAGGATTCGCATTTTTCAAGTAGACGAAGAACCGGATTAATGTTGTAAGGAAAGAGAGCTTTCTTCACCAGTCGGTCGATAGACATTTTTAGTCTAACTAGTACGCCCATAGTATTATCCAATTCTCCGCCGCAGCACGCGACGAACTCGGCCCAGTTACGTCTGACATATTTGAGAAATCGCAACAGGTACAGGAGAAAACAGGTCTCGTTGCTCACCAGCAAATCCAGCAGCACGCTCGAATCGTGCGTCACAGTATGAATGAACTGCACAAAAGTCAGTGTCGGACTAAGCATGCGGCTCAGATTCGTACGTTCATTCTGTGGCGATCCGCGATAGAAGAGACCCACTGCGACATCCAAGCAGCAAACCATACCCTCGATTAAGAAGTCGTCCTGGTCCTGGAATATCTGCACTACCCATTGCGACAGTGGCATGTCCGGATGAAAGGGCATCAACGCTTTTACGCATTGATCCAGTTGACGCAACACCTCGCGGATACTTCTCTCAATCATCGCCATATCCTCGTCAAGATCTTCAGCTTCGGAACCGAGTGACGAATCGCTGGAGTCGCTGCGAGTTTCCCTTACGGTCACGGCGACACTCTTCAACACCAGCAGCACCATTTTCTGTAGCAATGGACGATCGCCATCGCCGGTACCGCCGCCGAACCTGCCCGAGCCGTCACGGTACGGTAACGCCTCGAGCAGTCGCGAGTCCTTGACAGCTCGTAAAACCAAATGCGCCAGAGAACACGGCTCTTCGGGCAGACCATCCTGTAACGCTAAGGTACTGCCATAGCATAGCACTTCGTTAAAGAGATTGAGCATGTGTCGCCAGATCACGCCCGGCACACTGATCAGCAACCTCACCAAATGGTCTAGTTCCGAATAGAAGAGTTTGGTATCGATTATGGACAAGTTTGCCTTGACGGAAATAATAGTTTCCCACAAATGTAAGAATGTAATAACGACGGATTCGTACTGAGGTGTATAATGGCTGAGGATATCGTGAAAATTCGTCACGACAGTGATCCACTTGGACTCGAGCGCTCTCACGCACATTGCTTTGATCTCGGTGCTGTCAAAGCTTTCGGAGATGGTGATCTTGTTGCAATTAATCGGCGGCATATACGCCTCCGCCTCTTCCGGATGTGTGCCGTCCGTGTCCTTGTGCTCGATCACTCTCGTGACTATGTCCAAAGTAAACAGCATTTGACTGGGAGACGAAGTGTCCACTAGAGATTGCGTGAGCGTTTCCAACCAGGCAGCTTCCACGTTTTCTCTCGTGATGATAAAAAACGATGCGAGCACGCGGCTCGCGGCGTACAACACAAATCGGTTGGACATGTAAGACAGGTCAATGATTTGATTAATGATACCGTGTTCATTTTGCGCAAGTATGTTGCAAATATCTGCAATTCTCGTGCACATTATGCCTTTCATATTTTGCTTGATTGCTAGATCGAACAGCAGTTGAAGAGCACTTAGAAACTCCAAAATTTGTTCTAGTCGCCACTCTGATAACATGGCAAAGCGGATTCTACCATCACTCCCCTCGCTCTTAGCATTGATGAACGGTTTGTACAAACTGCTTTCCGGCACATGGCACAAACAACGTTTGAGCAGACTATTTTGCAGCTGCTCAAGCTCATCTCTGTGATTCTCAGTGCGCTGTTTTTTCTTAACTGGCTGTTCCATTGTGCTGATAAGAGGATGCGCAGAAGCACCATTAATTCTTGTCAAGTTAACTCTCTCATGTGGACAGTATTATGAAAAGATGAGCATCCAAGTAATGATAAACAAGTTGCATTTTGTATCAGTATACCAAAGCTAACAGATGTATAAATCCACTGGAAATACCTGTTGCAAAAAAACCAAATAATTTTTATGTACGTATGTATATAAACGTATATAAATGTGTTATGTAATTTGTTTAAATAACTTTTGTTTTTTTTTTTTTTTTTGCACAAATATAAAATCACTGAAATTTCGAATAATTTACACATATAAATTTTCATCAATATTAAAAAAAACACGTTTTTGATATCTCACTATAAATACACAATAAAATGTAATAACCAACAAACTTACAGCATTAAATTTCCATGTTTGTATTCCTGCTGACGATATGTTTATTTCTGTATTTTAAAAGATACCAGAGACAATGCCCTCAGCTGTAATACAGAAAGAAAAACAAATTCTTTTTAAAACAACTTGTCAATCCCATCACTATTTCAACAAACATTATTCAAAAATAATAAAATTTTATTCACTTGAAAAAAAAAAAACCAAAACTTCTTTGTATCTTCATATATAAATTTGTTTTTGTTGACAACAATTATTCAAAACTCAACTGTGCGGCAAAGTTAGAGAGAAAATTGTATAAAATTGATTGTTTTGCACAAGCACTATCTCTTTTAATACGACTAACATGGCGAAGAGACGGTAGACGATGACTCCGTGTAACACCAGAAGCCCAACATCCACAGAAAAATCCGCGGCGCTAAAACTCCTGCTGTTGCTATCCACGCCGATGAAGGAGATGTTTGCCGCTTTGCGAAACACGCGATGCGAATCCAAAATAAATAAATCCCTGTTTGCGCATTCGTGTTCTCTCTACGCGCATCCCCCGATGAAGCTCGAGGCGATGCTCTCGGCGATGATGGACGCGCGATCTCTCTGGGGGCGGGAGTCGCCGTCAATCTTCGCGAATCGAGATCCGGGGAAAACGAGATTCGCACGCGGGGGTCGAATGTTCCACGGAACGCAGGAAACAAACGTGTGCAACAGAAACGATCCACAGGAAGGACGCCGATCCACCACGCGATCGCTAGGAAGACAGCCTTACCGAACGAAGAGCGTTATCGGCGAGCAGGGGATGGTTCCGGGCACCCCGAACGGATCCGCGGGCAGCGACGACGTCTCGTCGCCGTCGGCGACGTTCCCGTTCGCGCGCGAGACTTCTTCGTACGACGTAAGAAAATTATCGGCACCGCGGATTACCTCAGCCGAAACGCCGAACGGTGAGATTCCTCGTCGCTCGTCACACAAGCTCTGTTGCCACGTATACGTATTGCTACCGACGACGCTGAAAAATACAGAAGCTGGTACGAGCCGAGGTCGGCGTGGACGTCCCGCGACCGGTACGAGGAGGATCGCTGCCGATGTCGGGCGGTGAGGTATCACATCCGCCGCCGCGTCGAACTGGGATACGTACTGCGTGCCTGCATTTTCGGTCGAGCATTCTGCGGAGCCGCGTAATACAGTAGCTGCTCGTTGCGCATTCCATAACGTACTGAGGGGCGGTACGCGGGTTTCCGCGCGGACAATTGCGCGCGGATGCGACCGCCGGCCAGTGAAATATTCCAATGACGCTTAATATGCCGTTATCGCGAATAAAAGTCGCCCGGATTGAAAAGCCGTGCGATAAATAAACGCGCGATCATCGGCAACTCAGCGTCGCAACCAGCGCCCCGTCGTGGCGTCCCTCGCACGAACGCGCGCCGCGGCTAATTTGAATCTTCTCTCTCGATAATTTTTTTTTTTTTTTTATCGATACGGATCAATTCGAACAATTATCTTTCGACTCTTTCGAGAAATTTGAAGGTATTGAAAACAGAAGGTTTTTTTACAGAAATAAAAAAAAAATGTTATACGAAGTATCGAATCAATCGCGGTCAAGATGTAGCGTTTTTACACTTTTATCAGTTGTTGCGAAGTTGTAAATAAATGTGTGCAAGTATTAAATTTAAATACGTACGAATTTGTTACAACAACGCGTCTTACATATCGTCGCAAGAAAGGAAACGGTCTCTCGGTGAAGATTTTACTCTCCAATATATCACATCAGCGAGATTCTAGCTTGCGCTTGCGCGCGTCAACGAACCTTTCGTCTCTCTTTTCATCTGCTGAAAAACTCTCTAACCTCCTCTCGAAAGAGACCCGATCGTATCGCAGAAGGAAAGAATTTTAGAAAGAGACAATAGCGAGTGTTGAATGGAATAAAGCCTAAAAATGCGAGAAAACGGTTGTTGTCCCAAGTTGTTGTTGGACCAGTCCGTCTAATCGGCCAATGCGGTTGGTCAATTTCAACGGAACACAAATCGACCGCCGAGGACATCTCACGAGCTCAGCGCACAAACAGACACATTATCTCGAACGAGTTCGATAGCTCGAGTTTCTTCTGAAAATCCACACACAAGCGCTTTTATCGACGGTGCTTTACGGTGCAACAACACCTCGTGGAAATATACGTTGATCAACGTTTGACACAAACCACTACATAGACGAGTTAAAACCAACAGATAAAACAACAAAAAAAGTGACGCAGTTTTAGTCAATTTTAAGTATTTTTTTTTTTTCGTCTCCGTCGGTCTGTCCGTCTTTGCGTGTCGCGTATTCGTAACGTTTCATATCAGGCGCCGTATCAGCGATCGCTGGAGGCAACGAGATAGTGACGAAAGGTGGAAGAAAGTAAGCCTTGGCCATCTTGGAGAGAAGACATGTCATTTTGGTATAAACGTCAACGGCACAGTGTTTACCGCACGATAGATGCTCCCGCTCGATCGTTGTAATAACTTTGTGACACCTGACAATTCTTGACGACGAGCATCATCGGACCACCGCACGATACAGTTGACACGTACATATCAAATACGCGGCGTAACTCCCAAGTGGCAGCGGCCCGTCGTACGTTAATACTTGCATCGCACGATGAATCGCGGTGACGGGCTGGTGCAACGACGACGTGTGGTCAACAGCGGCAGCAGCGGCAGCAACGGCAGCGGTCTCGGCCAGGATGGCTCAAACTCCGATCTCTCGGGTCACAACGACAAACTGTCCGGTCAGAGCCCAGACACAGATTGCTCGTCCCAGAAGGATCTCAATTGTAATTGCAACGTCGACGAGGATTCCGACAAAGAAACACGTCTGACACTTATGGAAGAAGTTCTGCTGCTCGGTTTAAAGGACAAAGAGGTTCGTGTCTCAAAAAGAATCTCTATCGTGTTGCTCTATGTCGTATTGTTGACAACTGGTCTTTCTTTCTTTCTTTCCTAGGGATACACATCCTTCTGGAACGATTGTATAAGTTCGGGATTGAGAGGATGTATCTTAGCAGAGCTTGGATTCCGAGGTAGGGTCGAGTTGGAAAAAGCTGGTATGCGCAAGAAGAATTTGTTGGCAAGAAAGCTTCTCTTAAAAAACGACGCGCCTACTGGTGATGTACTTTTAGATGAAGCTTTAAAACATTTGAAAGATACAGATCCACCCGAGACTGTATCAAGTTGGATAGAATATCTCAGTGGTTAGTTTATTTAGATGTTTGTACAGATTTTCGTGTGTGTACATGTATTTTATATGATTTTGTTTTTTTTTTTTTTCACAGGAGAAACATGGAACCCCTTAAAATTAAGGTATCAGTTGAAAAACGTCAGAGAACGACTAGCAAAGAATCTTGTCGAAAAAGGTGTCTTAACTACAGAAAAACAAAATTTCCTACTGTTTGATATGACAACTCATCCCCTCACTGATAATCTTGCCAAAAGTCGGCTCGTAAAGAAGGTAAACTTATTAGTGATGTCTTTTATATTGAGTGTCATTAAGTATGAAACTTGACAAATATACATATATATGTACGTATCTAATTTTATATTTAATTTATATATAATGGCTCAACATTTATATACACATCATAATTATGTAACTGATGACACATACTAGCTTGTACTTATGTAGTAAGTAATATCAGAGAAAGGATATATTTTTGACAATACGTTACAAGAGATTATTATAAAGGTCATGTGAATATAACAAACTGTAAATATATATGTTAAGTACTTTTCCAAATTTAAATTTTCAAGATACTTGCTCGAAAACAAAATATAACACAGTGTATATTTATTGTATATTACTGCTATATTATAAATTCATAAAATAGTAATATCTTATCTCTTTACGCTTCACCTACATTGATTAATACTTCCGTAGGAGTGAATAGATAACAATTCACAAATTACATATATAACAATATATATATACATATATATATGTGTGCCTATATGTGTATATTACATATGTGTGATACACGTAGTAAGATGTATACACATAAAATATTATTTAAATAAGAGCATATAAAAGTATAGAAAAAATAAAACATACTCGAGCAAATTAATAAGCTTTACGTAACACGACCTGAAAGATATCGCTCGAGTATTTTGTTACATAATATATGAATAGAACTATAGCACATATGTTGCTTTTGTCTTGCAGATTCAAGAAGCTGTATTAGGACGCTGGGTGAATGATGCTGCTCGCATGGATAGAAGAACGTTAGCGTTAGTTATTTTAGCTCATGCATCCGACGTATTAGAAAATGCATTTGCGCCATTATCGGACGACGATTACGAGGTAGCAATGCGAAGAGTACGAACGTTATTAGAGCTCGATTACGAGGCGGAAGCTGCTAAACGTAATGCCAACCCAGTACTTTGGGCTGTATTCGCTGCATTCACCAAGTAACATACATTTTATAAATTATACGGATACGGAATAAATGTTGGATACTAGTGTGAATAATAAAATTACAAATTTTGCATGTGTCTCTCAGTTACTATACGCGAAATAGACACAATTGTTGTTATATGATGAGATCATTCAGACCAAACATCTGTATATTCGATTATACGAGACGTTTGTTTTGTCTTTTTTTTTTCGATTCTTTTACATGCTAATTGAATAAAAATATAAATGATCATATTGCAGTATTGTGCAAAGGTAACGAAGATTATGCTGTGGGAACCCAATAAACAGAAAAAAATTTTTTATTAAAAAACTAAATTCTATAATTTTTGTCTGATGTTTATTGAGGTTTACGAATTTTTTAATTCGCGAACACAACAATGTGAGATGCAAAAAGATACTGCTATAATGGCTCGAAATAGATGTTGAGTGGGAAAAAAGTTGAAAAAACTTGAGGAGGAGGGAAGATTTTATGTTTTAGCCATAATTGAAACATATATTATACAAAGTATGTACATATATGCTTCTTTAAACTTTAATTTTTTAATAACATGTATAAACGTGCCTCCGTTTGTTATATATGATACTTGCATCCACAATTAATTTCAGTTGTTTTGTTTAAATATTTTATATTGATATTAAAATACATACACAGACAAAATAAACACACAAACACACACATATATATTCGATTCTTTTCTCAAAACAAAAAGAACTTATTTTTTAAACTCTGAGTGACATTTATTTTCTACATTATCTATGTAGATAAATTAGAAATAATTTTACACATTATCCATGTAGATAAATTAAATTATTAAAAATAATTTTACACACGCATAAACTCACACACATACATGGCATTATCTTGAATAAAGTGCCACATTCTTAGCGATTATTTACATATTAACACTCGTGTGTGTAAGAAATGTTTTGCACTATTTCTTACATAAATGTTCACTTTATATAGACCTTATCTTGTTACAACGTCTTCTGATATGTAAAAAGATTTGTACTGACAGTATTATCACATGTGGCAGTACACAAATCAGATTTAAAGTAAACAAGAAAAATACCAAGTTTATATATTATTAGTTACGCTCTATTACTAAATATTATTTAAAAATAAATAAATAAATTTTATTGTAATTTAATAGTTAAATATATACTCTCCATGTAAAGTAATATACAAGCTGTTTTCTTTAAAACTATTGTCATGTTATATGCCGCGGTAATCTTTCGCGCGCAAAATATTTTTTTTTTTTTTTTGCAAGAATGCAAATATCATAAAAAGAAACAATGTGGTCTAAACAATGTGCTAGACGATACGATAGACTAGTTACAGTTCGATTAATGTTATGAAATATTTTATAATGTTTTTTTTTTGATGGTAGAAACTCATACAGTATAAGATTATTATAAATACGCAGTTGTAGCATATAAATTGGAGCGGACGACTTATACGGCATGGAACGTGCTGAAGATAAACGTAACAGTTTTATTTGTTTGTTAGGAGGTTTTTTTACAAGGTAAAGAATGGGATATTGTTGTTCCTAAACCATTCGAGAAACCATGAAAGCCAAGGTTCATGAAATAGTACATGAGGTGAATGTTTTTTGTCCATCGAAATGTCAGATTCTTTGATGTCAAATCACACATATTGAAACACACAAAAAGGCACTCTTCAATTTTATAACTTTAAGTAATTTGTAAATATAGTATCATACACTTTTACAAACTCGCTCTATATACTTTTATGTGCACACGTATCGTGTAATATACCGTCGATTAAAGTTAAATAAACGAGAAATAAAAGAGAAAAATGTTATTAAGTTTTATTATATATTATAATCACATTTCATACGAAAGTTTAATTTACACATATAATTTACACATATATATTACAATACATTTATATATATAAATAAGATTTTATACATATATCACTTGTTCATATTCTTTTTGTGCCACATTTTCTCTCACTCTTTTTTTCTCTTTAATTTTATATAACATTATAATTATTACAATTATATTTCGTTTTGCAGGAAATGTTTTAAAATCAATTAGTTGTTTGTCGTTTTTTTAAGGAAGAGTACGTAGAGATGATCAAATCTATTTATTTAATTACAATTGCTTGAATCAGACCATATTGTCCGGTTCTCATCCAATGTTCGTCTTTTTCGAATAATGATTCAGCTACGCCCTGTGACAATCCAACACAAACATCTGATTTCACGGTGCGCAAGCTTAAGATATTTGTAGGTTGAAAATCTCCCAATGCGTCTTTAAAGCTTGTAGTGTACTCGAAATTAATATCGCCTAAAAGTTTTCTATAATTTAAATCGCCTTTAAATATAACTAATGTCGCATTCGACAATTGAGCATATAGATCTTTCTCTTTCTCTTTCATTTCTTTAAAATCATATGGTCCTGTCCAATAATTATCCGCCTGTTTCAAGAAAATTAATGTAAATTGTATATTCAATTTTATTTTGACGTATCTGAAAAAGTAGACAAGAATGTACCTTGACGCTCCAATTTCCAGAAGACAATAGCCTATTAAACATAGCGACCAAGTGTTGCAATATCGTTCTATTTTCAGAATTAGTATTTTCTGATAAATCCTCCGACACGTCCACTCGACGCATTTGATCAATCGTCCAGGTAAAATCGTAAGGCGTTACATCGCTCACGTACCATGGATATTTTTTTACGTGAAACGTTATCTTGGATTTAGGCGCGAGGCAACTCAGAAATGTTGCTAAATACATATCGGCGACAAGTTCGTATCCTGAATTGTCAAGCACTATATGAATATCACCATCATTTTCCATTATTGTGTTGTTTACGATGTTCCACACAGACTCCCAGTCGTTTACTAATATATTTTCATTCAAAGACTCTACTACATCGAACGGAGAAAAACCCGAATTGGAATCGAACTCGCTGGATGTAGGAATTCCTGCGCTTACAGACCCATCACAATATCTATAAATATTTTTTAACACATTATTACTCGTTCATAGATTTAAAAGATATATAAAAAAATATTAGCGCCAACCTGTTAGCCCATAAACTTAATTTTAACAGTTTCAGAAAATCCTGTTTTGCTTCTGAATGTTCTCTTCTATCGCATATACTTTTTACGTGTACAGCGAGAGTCTTCATGAAATTAATGCCAGAAAAAAAGGTATGTTGCTTAATTGGTCCAAATACATCATAATTAGCTAATGTGCTCCTAGTTTTTCAGAGAACAGATATTTTTCAATCTGTTGCTTCACGTGTCACACACACAATGCATATCGTACTTTAATACACAATAATATTAATAAAACTTACGTCAAACCTACTTCTTGAGCTACTATACGATACATATAGCATTCGCAATATAACCAGATTGTACTGAACCATTTTGGCACTTCACCCTCTACTTGTGTCCTATATTCTAGATACTTATTCCATTCCTCCGCATCGTTACCGACCTCTTTGTTATTTAAGCGCATAGGTCTCAGAGATTTGTTAGTAACTACTTCAGTTTTTAACTGACTTATAAAACCTATGATCTGTTTGATATCTCTTTCTGCGTTCTATAATTTAATAATAATATTTATGTATTATTACACACACGTGTGTTCCTTATATTTTGACAGAGAGAAAGAAAAAAATAGGATGGCAGCAAAAGTACTGCTTATGGGATTACCTCACCATGTAAAGAAATAATGGATTTTTTGTCTTTACAAAGATGATCAATGATATTCGTCAATATCACTGGCAATTTGTCTTTTATTACTGTATGACCGTAACTTCTGTAACATAGCGACAAAATAAATGTTATATTACATTCCTCTGTTCTAAGGGGAATTCTAACACAGAGCATTATTCAGAAATTACCGTTTGTATATTCCACGCAGCGGTACACCAAATGGTGTAGATATATCTTGGAAAATCGACATTTTGTCATTCTCTTTGGCCTTTGCGCTCATTGATAAAGCGGGCAACAACGGAAGATCAAATAATGTGAGCGAAGAATACGACAAGAATACGACAATTGCGACGAGATTACCTGTGTGTACATACAGAGTGAACATCTCTCTTAGAGTAAACTTCAATGTTTTCTTGTATACATGTATATTTTTTCTATATATTTCACACACTCCGTGCACTCAACACGATGCAAGAAAATCAAGATTAGAAATTCTGCAGCGGAGAGAAGGAAAACGAGGAAACAAAAAATGCAAGTAATATATATATACATACGTCACGAAGCAGTTTGCTCCTTTTTTTTTTTGTACTATCTATATTTCACAAACTAGCTACTATTTGTGAACTTAAAAACGTTATATAAGCGTATGGAGATAGGAAGAGACAGACACTGTAGCTGCGAGACTGAAACTCTCTAATCTTTATCACTGAAATTTAACGAAGACACACGTAAACAATGAGCAGACGGCACATACAAGGTCGCATACATGTCGTATGATTGCTAAGCGTGCAACGCGCACGCGCAGTCTTTCTTTTTCGTCTAGCCGTTATTAATTATATAAAACTAATGTGTACGTACGTATATATATTGTATTTTAAGTGTATATTACATTTTAATGTAATTATATAAGTTCGTTTTTTACATCCGCGGGCATTTTATAACTCGCGGCTTGCGAAATATGATGGATTATTTATACGCGGAGTGTTGCAAAAGAACGCGCGTTTATTTCAACAAATTACAAAAATTTTAAAATTGTAGATCCGCTTGAAATCTGAAAATTAAAAACATGAAAAACATATGCTTAGAGAACGTAGACTCCGGTTGTGTGAGCTCCAACATGTTGGAGTCATTAACGCCCGTTTTCACCATCTCTTGGATTAACTTAATCGGCGATTAAGTATCAGTCGTGATTGGTCCGTTCTTCTAAACGATTAATGCGACCGGCACTTCCAATGGAATAATCGATCGATTAATTTAATCGAAGATGATGAAAACGGGCGTAAAGAAGTAAAGTCGCGAACGGAGTTTAAGTGTACTTTGCATTCGCACAAACAACAGGAATTAGTTTGTTAATTCTCAATTGCTATGAAATGTTTCGTATCAATGCGCATCAATTCGCGCACATTGCACCAAGGGCCGGTTGTTCCACCTTTCCGATAAATCTCAGCTTATTCGACAGGTTTGTTATCTATAGGATAAGAACTTGACTAGCGCATCTTCCCCACTGTTTTTTATTTCTACATATTTATCCGTTAGACACGACTTGCACGGTACCGAGAGTGTTGTCTAATTTATCATTTACCAGATATATAAATTTTACCACGACACGTGGAACAACGCAAATCAGAGTTTTAACCATTAGACAGGCTGCGTTCTCCGTTTCATGCATATGCGCGCATTTATCTATAGTGCACGTGACGTATAGTATAGATAAGTGCGCGCATACGCGTGGAAACGGAACGCAGCTATAGATTACCCGATAGTGGTTTTACCTGAAAGTGGAACAACCGGCCCTAAGTGATGTTCACAAGTGTGCAAAGAGCAACATATGATTTTTACCCGTTCAAACTGTTATGATTTTTTACATGCTTTTGCAATTGCTCGAGTTTGAATGTTTTTTTTTTTTTTTTTAATGGCTCTCGAGCTCTAACATATCCGTATCTATAAACCAGTTTATGTATTGTCTAAACATATACATATATATATATATATATATATATATATATGTACGTTTCAAATTTCAGGTTTCAAGTCTCAAGTTTCAGCGAACCTACAGTTTTGAAGTGAAATCCAAACCATCGTGGTGTTACGACTTCTTTCGCAATTGCGACGAACTGACAAAATCTGCGAATCGATGATTCAGTTTCTCGGAATTTTAATACGCACAAGTTAGTTCTTGGTCATCGTTTTAAGATGACTATTTATGTGTGTGTGCGTGTACAATGCGCACACACACATTATATTTTCAAAAAATGTCCGATCATTGCGTAAATACATATACATATATGAAATCTACATGTGATGCAGTGTGTGAGATACGTGGATACTAAAACGCGTACTAAAATCGTCATTTCGTCCTTCTTCCGCATTAAATGAACAATAAAGAAAAAAAATACGTAAAAGCGCGTAGCGCAGAGCTGCGTTCCGTTTCGCGCATTTGTCTATATTATACGTCACGTATACTATGGATAAATGCGCGAAACGGAACGCAGCTCAGTTCGGGAGTGTAGGTCAATGAAGTAGAGGGAAGGGTCACGTGACCGTGCAGATCGAAACTCGCAGGACAGGCTAACGCAACCTACATTCCATTCCTTATCCATGAAGCTTGTAAAGAAGACGTCCGAATTTTCTCAGTGCTTCAATATACGAGCAAGATGAGTCTTTAGTTCAACGAAGAACTTGCACACGCAAGTGTGCCGACGTCCTAACAAATAATCATGGAGTAAGTAATTCACTTCGATCGCGTTTGTCGTGTGAAACGATTTGCGTCGCGTTGCATTGCCTGCTCGCGTCCGAGATACAAAGAAGTACGCGTGGCCATCTTGTGTGAGTCATCGCGTTACGTATTGTTTCGTGACTCTCCACAAAATTTGTATCTTTTGTCATCGTATTGTAAAGTTTTCGTCGGTCGATTACAATTATGTTGACACGTCGAGTGAAAATTCGCGTTCGAGTATTGCTCGCTTCGAATCCGCCAAATAGATCTTGTATATCCAGATAACAGTCGTGTGCGTTGCGTCATGACGCGACAGAAAATTATTTTGTACATAATTCTGTAATTTGACGCTCGGAAGGAAATTTGTCTTTCGTGTAGACAAGTTTGATCAAGTGAGCGTCGAACTGCGAACTTCCGGTTCCGAAATTCAAAAGTTGCGCAACAAGCTGTATGTTCAGGTTTACAAATGTTCATTTAAATTGCACAAAGTTATGTCGACTTGTTTAAACTTTTTTACGATAGTTCTTAAATGTCTCCAAACTCATTTATAGCAGCTTTGGACATTAATGATAACAAACCTTCCTAGACAGACTTCAAAAACAGTTTGCTACTTAAACTGAGTTTGTGAATGAAAAATTCACTGTGAAAGATCAATATTTTTTCATTTTTTTCAAAATCGAAGGTTTGAACGATTCTGCGTCAATAAAAAAAAAAATTTTTTAAGTCTAGTAGTTCAGAAGATATGAGCGTTTAAAAACAATGATCTACTACATTGGTTTGGAAGTTTTGTATAAATCTGCGAGACTCATTTCAGTTCACAGAAGAATATAGTAATATAATAATAATAAATATAATAATGATATTATATGTGTGTAGTATATTGGCTTTGATTTTTTCCTGATAATTAAATAACAAATCAGATAAATTTATTTTGCTTATTTTACAAGAAAATTTTATAAACTCTTTTAGAGTGTATTTTCAAAATACACAGTTTCTTTAAAAACAAAACCTGAAACAAGTAAATCAAAATTTATCCTCTTTTATATGTATAAAAATTTTATGTTATTAACAAAGAATTTTATTTATTTTTCAGAGCCAATATGGCGCTCTTCACGAGCTACGTCGCTACGTCGACACACATTTCTTTTTATCATTCTTTAGTGCCCTTCGATTGGATCCATACGGAAAATGTCCCATTTGGATCAGGAGATGTGGAAGTACGAGCCGGTGTCCCCTGCCGGGACATCGCCTCATGAAATTGATGACGAGTGGTTTTTACTTGATAAGTCTGTAGAGAGTCCTAAAAATGCTGCAGAGCCCGTTATGTACGATGACTACCCTTCCCGCGCACAAGTGGCCAGGAAACTATTGGATCAACTGGACGAATGGATCAAAGAAGGTAATTTGTTTGTTTTTATTTTTGGTTTACATTATACTATTCGTTTGAGCATTCAAATTCGATAATATATCTCGAACAAGAAAATAGAGAAAGACCACTTATATTATGAAGTTTTAATTCTTAGAATTCTGCTCTCGTGTAACACCTAGATGCTTATGTTGCACAAAATACGCTTACTGTATACAGTTGGCGTCTGTAGGATCTCGGTGGTAAACAATCTCAGAGTTTAGAAAAAAATACATTTTTGTTCTGAATAATGAGCTCAAAAATTTGAATTTGCGAAGTGTAAAGATTAAAGGAAAAAAAATGGCTCGTAATTTTGACCTGTTAATTGCGCATATTAGCGAGCTTGGTCTGTACCGTGACTAAAGATTACAATGTAATTTTAACCGTACACAGCAAACGCAGTTGAGAACGGTTAATTCTCTTATATTATCAACTATATAAAATGCATATATAACATGTCTGTAGAATAATCAACACATGAGAGAATTTTTAAATCTTGTACATGGTCTTATCTCTTCAGGTTCTTATCTATGTGAGGAAAAGTCAGTAATAACAAGTTGGAATATAATGAAACTGAAACAGTAACTTTCTGCTACTTAAATTACTTAAAAGTAATTAACCATATTAAATATTGATATATATTGCTGTATTTATTAAATTTTTCTATCTCGTCGACATTTGTTAATTTGCAGCTATTAATTCGCTTCTATCTATACTCTTCGCTTATCACACATTGAAATAGAAGCAGTTTCAAATTGCAAATGTTTTTTACGTTAGTTTTTGCCTCACGGTGGTAAAACCAACAAAACTATTACAAAAGTCTCTGGTTTTTCGCAAAAATTTTTTAAGAACATTAATACTTTGCTCTGCCATACAATTTTAAATATCTTTACATACTTTTTTAAGTGAATATACTAAACAAATACATATATGTAATAAAACAAACTTGCTTGATCTCAATAAATCTCAATAATTTAATAAAATTTTAATATACAAAAAATGAAAATATACAAATCCATGTTGTTAGATGTATATTGAACACACTCTGAAAGATTTTTTTTATTAAAATGTGTTATTCGATATTGTTTGAAACATTATTAACGACTCGTATCTTTGACAAAAATGTATTTATTATTTTTTTTTTTTTTTTATTCTCGGTATCACGCGTACAAACATTGATAAGAATATTTCTCGAGTTGCGAAAAATACACTTCGCACAATTAACGAGTATTGATTTGCTAAAAATAATTAACGGGAAACAAAAGTTTATCGACTTTTATGTTAAATATAACAAACAAACAAACAAACAATGCATCATTTATCTGATAATTTCAATATCAGCTTGAATGTGGAAGTGAGAGAAAGACAGATTCTACAATATGTTTATCATTTACGATTGTATTTTTAAACCGGTAAAGCGAAATATCTATACAATCTATGTACGTGAGATAAATTGTGATACGTGTTACATAGAATTGCTGCAAAAAAAAAACGTCTGATCTGAATTAAATTACATTGAGCCTTATGTTAATAATTACACAGACAATTTTTTTATTCACAAGTTTATTACATCTAAAAATCAGAAAAACTCGATCCCCATGGTGCTTTTAATTAAGTCGGCGATAAAACTGTAAATTATAAATTAATAACGGGACGCGATATATATATAAATGTCGCGCGTTATATAAATCGGCGATACAATTGTATAAAATTGTTTTTATAAAAGAGCGAGATGAACTGTAAGTTGCCTTATGGCTAGCCGTGAGATACTTTGCAATCTTAGCACGCGCGCGCATAAATATACAATCGAGAGCAAGAAACAAGTCTATTGGTAAAGGGCTGGACGCGCGTGAATGCGCATTGTAAGAATCGCCTACTTTTCACATTTTTATCTATACTGCGCAAAAAAAAAAAAAATGTGAAAACTGGTATTTTCGTTCTCGCGCTGCGATTTGGTATCTCCCGTGTATCGCTTTCATTCTCGCTCGTTGCCGCTGCTCGCATACGCGCGTTTCTCTGTTTCCCTTTCTCACTCTTTCTCTCTCTCTCTCTCTCTCTCTCTCTTTCTCACTTCTGGTCGCTCCTCTCCTTTTTTTTTTTTTCTGCAAAAAGAGAGTGGGACAAACTGGTTAACCTCTACGCAAATGGGTTTAACTTGGAGGCCGATAGGGGGGTGACGACGGTGTCAGCGCGGCGAGAGATTGGAGAAGACGGGAGTAGGGGCGGCAGAGGGGAAAGTCCAAAGATAAGCAGGAGTGGTTAGCAGTATGCAGACCAGCAAAAAGCACGATTTGTGCGATCGCCGTTTGCCGAGCTGTCGTGCTACATCAGTATCTAATTGTCCGTTGTCTATGTACAGGCTTCGCAACCGTCGTCTCTTCGTCTCCTGTCAGTGTGTCTTGGCTACGGCGTGACCGCGTCCTCCCGTTTACCTCGCGTTAATTTCGAGTACTGTCTCGTTTCCGAAGTCCGTCGATTTTTCACACGTATTTTTTTTCCGCTTTCGGTTGTCTCCTGCTGTTATCTCGCAAGGTTTTTTTTTTATCAAACAAATCGGACGAGTCCGTGTCACAAGAAAGAACACGTACCTTTCTTACGCGCGCACTCTCTTTGGAGCGAAACGAGACGCGCGTTTGCGATAGATGGTTTTTTTCCGCGTAACCCCGTTAGCATATATATTCGGAAGCCCAGCGAGAAAACACGTGTTTGTGTTGATAACGACCGCGCGACGGTGTTGCTGAGAGAAGAATTCAAGATTCGGCATCTCTTACACGGCGATCATCGTAAAAACCATCTCGGCGACGTAAGAGACAATAGAATTCGACGCTAGTTTTCGATCTCCGACGTTTTTTAACGTCCGGAGAAAACGCGACGCGATTTATCGATAAACATCTGCGGAGTTCGCAGGATCGACCGATTTCGGCGGGACGGGTGAAACGATCTTTGCATGGGCAGTTGAGGCGCCCTGACGAAAACGGAGACGCGACGTCGGTAATCTTTACAAGACTGGCATCTCTACAGTCAACCCGTGACAATCCGGCATCTCGATGGTGGAGTGTGCTAATGTTATATAATAGCATGCAGTTCGCATACCGATACACGTGGAATCGAGAGATCATCGTCAACTCCCAAAAGCTCGTCAAAAGACGCTGACTACCAGTCGAATCTGTTGTGGTTGCACGTGGGAGGAGGATCGCGCTATTATTCTCTCTCTTTTATTTCTCTTCTCCCTCTTCTCATTCTTCTTCGTCCTCGTGGCAAATTTGCGACACGCTACATCGGCGCTATCGAGGGAACGATCACATTGGAATCATCGACCTCTCCCAAACAGCTACGTTTAATACAATCCGACTCGATCCTCCCTCCTCCCGCCACACTAAAAAAGGAGGAAAACATCGAGCCGCGATAGACCATGGCTACTCTATGTTACAGCGGTAGGTTTCCTTTTACCCCCTCTTTTTTTCGCCACTCCCGATATCGTCTCGCTCTCATAAGTGAGAAAATTTTTTCACCCCCACACGGAGGAGAAGAAAGAGGGAGAGATACACAACTGTTATCCGGTTACATTGTATAAATACCGGCAAGAAATATTTATTGCAATATCAATTTTATGAGATTGTTACGTTGGTGCTAAGCGTATACGCACGCATATGCATATACCTTCTTACACAAGAATATATGTAGAAAACAAAAACCACAAATTGCTAAGTATTTAAAAGGACACTTCTGTTAGTTCTCGTTGAGCGGCATTTATGTGTTGTTTACTACTATTCGACTTCCAAATCTTGTTTTTTTAATGAGCAGAGAAAGTTTGTGTGGAATATCTTAATCTCTCTCTCTCACATACGTATTTTCTCAGATTGTTTACTTGTCAAACGGATAGAAATTCTTGTTTTTCTTGTTTTTGTTTTTTTTTTTTTTGTTTTTTTTTAAGTTTAAAAATTTCTTTCAAGAAAATGTTACTTTAAATTTGTTGTCAACTCAAATGTACATTGACATCGTTCAATCAACCGTCGAAACATTTTCGCACACCGAGACAGTCTCATTAGTGTTCGATAACGGATGAAAACGTCAGTCCAACCAGTTTTAATGAAAGATAATAAGCGTCGAATCGCACGCTTGATAATACGTCAACAGTGACAGTCATGCATACGTGTATATTTTAACAAGTAACTTTTAAGCATATGTCTCCTCTGTCATCTATAATTATTTCTACACGAGATCATTTTGTTTTTCGCGTGCGATTTATTAAATAATCCACTACGCATCGATCACATTTTTCATTTGTTCTGCGTCTCAACATGTTATTAGAAGTTGATTACTTATCAATTACTTTATAAAAAAAGTTACTTTATAAAAAAAAAAAAACTGTATTTCACAAAGCATGACAAGATCGTGCAGAAGAGATACATCGTTAATTAATATTTATAACTGCGTTCACGTACGTGTGTATTTCAAACGCGGTATACATATTTGGACAATATCTTTTTTTTTTTTTTTAATGGAAAATATGCATAAAATCACGCAGTAAAAAACAAGAAGAACAATAATGTCGCTTGACGTTTGCGCGATTGGCACACGCCGCTTAAAAAAAAAAATACCGCATAAAGATGCAACTTTAAGTAGATACGCATTTTTTATCGAATTGGTAATATAGCTGTGAATCCAACATCCATCAGTGGTGGTCCAATTTGGCATCATTTTAGCAAATCTCTTTTCAGATGTTCTTTGTTGCTAATACACACATGACTTCCGAATACAGATGAGTTCTTATCTAACCTTCTGCCCTCTTCTGTATTTAAATGAAGATAACAACCAATAGACGCAGATCAAAGTTTCGTAAGAAAATAGGTCACGACTCTTTTAAAGAATGGGAAAATTATAAAATTATGTGTGAAAAGAACATTCGCGATTCGGAGATAAAGAGAGAGAGAGAGTGAGATAGATAGATAGATAGATTAGCTATTATCTTTGGATATGATATTGCTACGGGAGGGCAGAAAGAATATATAGTTTTGAAATATTTATTGAATCCTGCAAGGCCGATTACACGGCGGTGGTTAATAATGAAAAATCTTTTTTTTTTTTTTTTCACACATTGTTTTTTGCATACTAAATAGCAAATCACTCTCTGCAGTAGTCGATCTCATTACAAGTTGAGAAGATTGCAAATGAGGAACTTGTTTTCCTAGTTAAATCAGTAACGTCCATGAAAATCGCGTATATACGTAAGCGTATATATCTCAATATCGTGCCACACCTATTCATTGTTGATGCAGCAGTTTTACAATAAAGTACTGTTAACTATTAGTAATCCTTAAGATTGATCGGAATTGTTTGTTTTACTATTATATAACGATATCAAGTTCTTTGATTTATATATATATATATATATATGCAAAGATATCGTTGGGTTTGTTCGATATAAAAAAAAAATGGATTTTCCTCTTCCTGATAACGTCTTGTTAATAAGGAAGGAAGAAACGGAAAACCCCGTATAGATCCGTTTCTTCGCGACATGATGATGATACATAAAAGAGATGGATAATGTAATCTTTAGAATATATATGAGGTAAACACAAAGACTAATATTACGGAAAATACGAAGATCGATCATTTTCCCGACGTGTAGCATATTTATCACTCAAATGCCCGTCGTTTCTAAAAGACATGCAAATTGCGTCTTGCGTTATCTATAACAATAATGATGCGCGCACCAGGAAGTTCATAATATCGCCAATGTGATTTGTTCAACAAACCAAACGATGTGCGTGATCGCGAGAAACTATCTGCGCGTGTTTGAAACGCGCGAACCGCGATACGCGATGTCAATTAGAAATAGGACAACGACGAGTGTATTTCGATCTATGGCGCCGCGGTTAGCCGCGTTGTATACCGCCACCCCACACAAGAAATTGCGCAATAATATTTTATACGCAGGCGGTCTCGCGCGCGAACAATTGCCTGCCGCGCTCTAATCAAATTTATTCCCGTTAATTTTGCTTGCAGAACCCTTCTCGGATTGGCTGGAAGAAAAAATTGACTTGCCCATATTTGAGCAACTTCCAGTTTCGGAGAGCAGCCCAGTTAAAGCTCCGCAACAGTTGATAATTTATCCACCTGTTGTAAAGGGGCAACAACAACAACTGCAACATCAACCGCAACAACAGCAGCAACATCATGAACCGCAACAACAGCAACATCAACCGCAACAGCAGCAGCAGGATGACACCCAGATCCTCTTGCAAGAATTCGAAACTGTTTTGGGAGATGTCGAGGCTTGCCATCAGATCGTTCCACCGATCAGCTCGTCGACGCTCACTCCTCCTCAATCACCGCCGCATAAAGCAATTAATGTTGATACGCAATTGCTGGTCACACTACAGCCTGTGCAGCCGTTATTTACCAACACTCAAACTGAACCGATTTATAACATGATCGTTCCGACGACGGAAGAGTCGTTGTATGCGAATGACGCGCCGCGCGAATGGAACACCGAAAACATATCGCTGAGTCCGTTCGGTGGGGATGTTGTGAACGATTTGGCAGTGGTGGATGAATACGTTCGCACGCATGCTAAAGACTTGCCGTCACCCTCGAGCCCATGTGTTAGCTCCGGCAGCAGTTGTATCTCAACCGAGGATTCCACCGACGATCCCGATTGGAGTCTCGAGTCCGAGAGAAAAAGTTTGAAACAATCGGTTTACGATTCTTCAAAGCATCGCCACAAACCGTATTCCCGGTCATCTCTCGAGGACAAGAAAGTACGTAAGAAGGAACAAAATAAAAACGCGGCTACGCGTTACAGACAAAAGAAGAAGCAAGAGATCAAAGAGATACAAGGAGAAGAACGCGAGCTTGCGGATCATAATGAAAAACTAAAAACCCAAGTGAAAGATCTTCAGCGCGAAATCGGATATCTAAAAGGGTTGATGAGAGATCTGTTGAAGGCCAAAGGTCTTCTTAAGTAAATCCATTCGTCTGGATCAGAAACTATCATCATTCTTCTTCTAGTGTATACTACTTCTTCGATTTTACATTAAAATTTATGTAAAATCTCAAATGTTTGTTTTTTTTTAAACACTAACTATTTTACAACAATTGTACTAAAATGTATATCTATATATTTTTCTTATTTCTTAACAATTACTTAAATGTTATTAATTTTTATTTTATATATATATGTACATGTACACACATACTTACCCTTTATCTGCTCTCGCAGCTTTTTAGGAACACTACAGACTTATTGTTCTTATAGTAGAATGTATACCATCTCCTAATCTAATCTAGTTTTGTCAACATCAGCGAGCGTGATGTGTTAGATAACGCGTGTAAATTGTTGAGCACGCAAGTTTCCCAAGATCTCCTACCGAGCAAAGGCTATGCTGGTCGTGCGAAATTCCACCAGTTATCTAACATATCTCTCTCAGGTGCGAATCTTTTCATTCCGATTAATTTTTATCCTTTCTTGCATAATATTTTCGTATGGAAAAAATTTATGTAGTAAACAAAATAAACTGGTACTGGTTTACAGTAAACCAACGAGATTTATTTTCTTATTAAAATTGCATTTGTGCAAGCCGATAATCCTTTGTCCATCTAGAATTAGAAATAAATTGCTATATAACCGCGAAACATTGTTTAATATAGTAAAACAGTCTGAAACGTTAATTTTTATCGATTGTTGACCAAATAAAAATTTCAATAAAGTTATCAAAAAGTGCCTAATGATTTAGATAATTTTTAGTAAATCGGCATCTATATTTAGAAATGCGAGAATTTATTATCTCTCTTAATAATAACTCAAGAATTTATAAGTAAACTTTTCTTAGCGTCGTAAGATAATCAAATGAATTTTTGTTCTATAATTATATATGTATGTATAATTATATATGCATTAAAAACCATGTGAAAAAGTAAATCTAATAATCACATGCTACGTAGCGTTTTATGTACGTAGTGTATCATTATCGGTCGATACTTTCCTACAATTGATCCTATTTTACTGATTATTACACATATCGAAATGAGAATTCGATGCATATATCACTCTCTAATCTTAATAAACAAGTTACAATCAAATTTTATCGGAGAGATAGTTTATTTATTTATTTGTGTCCGTAGTCCGTATTTTGTACTTTCCTGAATGTTTTCTTTCTTCCCAAAAATAAGTAGACAAAACTAGTTCAACTTTTAAATATGAAAAATAAAATATATAGCACATATAAAAAAATATATAGCGCGTATAAAAAATTTATATAGCACTGTTGGTGCAAAGTTTTTTCTTTTTAAATGTCGCTATACATAGAAAAGGTTTTTATGCATATACAACATTACTTTTGTGTGTACATCTCGTATGTTTCGTACAAAAATCTATGAACTTCGTTGAAATATCTGAAAAAAGATGTCTTGATTAAGTTGTTCTCAATGTTTCTATACGATTATCGTAGTAGCAAGAAAAAGTAAAAGTTTGGTAAATCCCCTCTCTTCTGAACTTTCTGCTAGTCAAGTAAGTTTGTTGAATTAACGGGACAGTTTTAACATATACTCTACTCTTATGACTCTGAGGTATCTTTCCATTGGTACAAAAAAATATGTACATGTGCAATACACATTATACTTTGAACCAATGTTTAAAAATAGCGCGTCTTTTTATCTCTCTCAAATATAAAATTATTTAATATTCAACGTAAACACAAAATTCTATCCTTTTTTTCAGTTAAAATCTTGCACTCTAGACGCGAACTACAGAAATAATTTATGCTACATTTCTCGGTTTTGACGTCATCGATATTGATTGGTAGACCTTGAGCAATTTCTTTCTCTACTCGAGACGATTGTAGATATATATACAGTTCATAAATATTTAACGTATATTTGCGCAAGAGCCTAAATTGAAATTGTGTTTTACGTGGGCGTTCATTATTTTTCACTTGATGTACCACGAACAATTATATAAATAATTTACTTTTGAGAAATCCGGCAAAAGTGTGTAAGTGAAATATAAACATGATGCACAACACTCTCTTTCATCGCTTAATTTTTTATTTTTTGACACACGAGTGCACATCCACTCAAATGCATAATTATACATACACACGCGTGTATATGTGTCTCCATATTTATATTTACATATAATATTAGTAATACAACAAATGAGATAGTTTTTAACAAGTTTTGGACGTAAAAGAGCAAAATCGGCGTATGCAGTATAACTTATATATATACATACATATATCGTGTAACATAACACTGTCTGCCGAAATTGTCCGTACTGCATTACATGCAAGAAATACATCGAACATTCAAGTATAATTCTTTCCGTCTTTTTCTCTTAAGCGGCTAATATTATATGTACAAAATACCACATACGTATTTAATCACATGAATAATTAATTTTTTTTTTCTTATTTGCTTGATACTTTTTTACATTTAGTATTATATCTGTAATAAGAATCTGTGTTTTTTCGGAGAAATACCATATGTAGCTATTGTCCAAAATTGATTATTTGTATTATTCGTAATATCTCACAATCTAAGTCATTTATTACGCATAATAAGGTGATTATTGTGAATGTGTAGTTAACACGTTTTGGTGCAAATTCGCTTCACTGTGGATTTCGAGATCTCAAGAGTGCTACTTCACAGAGCCTCTCGCAATCACATGGCACATATTGATTTATAGATTCTTAATGTCAAACGTTAACTGCACAGCTCAAACATTGATTGATGTAACAAACGTGTTAAATACATAATAACAACAACAAGACTTTTACATTTTCAATGATAAAATGCATATAATCGTGCAAGATAATTTTTATATAATAGTTACTCTCTTTTTACTTACTATATTTTACTTGCTCTAAATTAATGTACATGTAATATACATACGAGATTAAATTACTAAAGTAAATAAGAAAGCACCTATAAATTAAAGTAACAAGAATATTGTACAATCTAATACTTCACGATTAAGATCTTTTTTTTTTTTTTCAATAAAAATGTAAAGCTGAGCACAATAGTTTGACGCAGATACACACACACACATACACACATATAGATATACACTGTTTTAAGATATACATAAATTTATATAAGTAATTTATTTTATTGTATATATTACATAAATCAAAAAATCAAATAATCAGATATCATTATTGTAACTTTAAAAGAGAACAAGAATAAACTCACGATAAGTAAAAAAATAAAAAAAAAAAAAACTAATATACAAATTTAATGAGACACACTTGGTTAGCACGCAGTATAATAAATTTAACGTGTGCAATGTATATAATATTTAGATATATAACATATATCTAAATTTCTGGAATGCATTTACAAAAAATCATTGAGTATTTTTAGATAATTAAACTCTTACTCTTGAGAGAATCATAATCATTACCATTTGTGTCTCAGAGAAATTTCTTTTATAAACTTAATCATTAAAAAATTATATTAAGTGACTATACATACAAAAATAAGTGTATACATACATACATACATACATATATATATATATATATATATATATATATATATATATCAAGAAAACAATTATTTTTTTATAATTATATGAAAAAAATAATTATATGACATTACTCTGTTCTAAATAAAATATATAGATAATCACAATATGCTTGACTGAGAAGAAATATATATACGTACATGTGTTATACATACGTACATATATATATTCTTTCATATGCTTTATTAACGTATTAAAAAAATAAAACATAAACTTAACAACACAAAAATGCAATGTATATCTATATAAGTTGCCAATATTTGAGACTCCCATATAGAAAGAAGTCTTGGAAAAGTGTTTATTTTAGTTGACAGAAATAATAAAGCGAGAAAATCGTTTGGAAGGTTTTATGTTGCCGCATCGCTTTCCTCCTGTTCGAGTCTAGACGAACCGCAAACGCGACATTTACAGCACACGATGCAAGGTGCCGCTAATAATAGCAAGGGTGATGCGACAAGTAGAAGTAGGCCAAAACCAGCAAAGATTCCAATAACTTGCGTTCGATGCCATATCACTGATGCACGTGAATGGCCTAATTTATTCTTACATGGTCCCTTGTCGTAATGTCGCAATAGAAAGTCGTCCTACAACATCATCAATTTAACATTGGTATGTGCTGACCAATCACAATTATAGAAATCTTTGAAATTTGAAATGTTAATCAACTAGTTTTACTGCTTCAAGTACTCACATCTAAGGATGCTAAGCAATACCAGCAAAATACATGTTTACATCTCTTGCACATCATTTGAGCACAACCTTCGTCCTTCTCTATCGGCACAGAACACATGGGACAAAATTTAATGTGATCGCTACTGAAAATTAACCCTGAAGTCGGACGATCTGAACAAGGTCCATTATGCCAAGGCTCACGACATATTGAACAGAAATCTATAGAACAATTGGGACAATGAACAGGACCCAAAGGGGTGCCACTTCCACTGCTGCTGTTTATTGAACATATTGTTTCACAACCCGCTCTTGGACACCATGTGCGTCTCTTATCCATTGCTACATCTGCATACAAAGCATATTAACTGTATCAAAATACAAGAATATAAATTGCTTTTTTTATCAAATATCTTAGGCGAAAATCTATATTACAGATCATATACTGTCTCAATTCAAATGATAGAGTCAAAGATACTTACCTGTATTCAAACGAAATTTACAATGCTTCTCCATAAGTTCTGGACTAACAAGGCTTGATATCTCGGTCAATGACAATATAGCGCCGTGATCACACTGAGCATCAGGACAACTAATTTCATATGCACCTTCCTCAATTTCAAATTCTACATAGGCACGCATGCACTAAAAATGATTGAAAAAAAAAAACACTATAAAGTATTTCTTTATGTACGATAGAAAAAATGTATGTTTCCTTAAATACAACTATAAGCTCCCAGGAAAATGTTGACTTACATCTTTGCAATAGGAACAACCACATCCCTCAATCTTGAATGTTTTGGAGAGAGAAGTATCGACAAGACACAATTTACAAAATATCCGTGTTTGTTGTGAACTAGCAGGAACAAAATTACCAGCAGCCAAGCTGTAACGTGAGCTCGATGCTAGAGACAACAAACTGGAACAGCGGGAGCAAACTCTGCTGCGATTGATGGGTCTTCCTTCAAGAGCTGAGGTGCTCAATCCTACAGCGGTCTCACACTTTCGTAACGCACCAGGACCCAGACTCATCCAACTACCACCACGCGCCTCCAAACTCACACTACTCTCCGGTCGTAGAAGGGGCGAGTCCGCTTCTTTGCTTGGTACGGTTCTCTCTGTCAATGAGAGATTTACCACGCTGGATTCTTTACGTATCAAGGGCAACCTAAGGCCATTAAGCTTCGCCTTGTCGATTTTTTTCGGACCGGCTTTAGCAGAAGGATTGCCAGCCGAATTCATGGAACTGGTCGCGGTTCCCATGTCCATTAGCGGGGCTCGTCTTAAGACGAGCGAGTGTAGACTAGGCATTCCCTGGACGTCGCTGCCGGTCACAGACGACGGGGACTGCGTTCGCCGCTCTTCCTCCGACGGAGAGCTCCCTTCCGCGCCCGTCGTTGTCTGTTCACCGCTAACAGTAAGGGAACGCATGAACCTGGATAATCATATGTACATAACGAACTCACACGGTGTATCTCGCAGTCGCACGCACGTCGATGTATCTTTACGCTGTTCGTCATAATCCTCGCAATCGACGTTACCTCCTGCACATGTTCCCTATGTGCGTGTCAAAGCTTTTAAAAACCCAATTCAATCGTACATTTTTTTTCTTATTTATTCCGCGTGTGATTTTTTCGCACTTGCACTTAGCGCGTTGACGTAGCGTTTAGCGGGAAATGAACATCTCCACTCTGTTCGATATCGCGCAGGAATGTGTAGGAAAACACTTATAGAACAGCTGATCGACTTCTCTCTTTCTCTCTCTCTCTCTCTCTTTCTCTTTCTCTCGAACAATCTCGAAAATCGCAAGACCGTGTGAATTTATCGTATTGCGTAAAGAGCGCAGAATAAACGGTGCGATGACGAGAGCAGCGTGAGTAAACGCGCGGATGAGGATACGATAAGTGAATACCAGGCGCACCTGATCGTGGAACTCGACGACTTGTCAACAAAAATGATCATACTGTCGCATCATTTGCAGCGACAGGGCATCGGGACACGTTCAACAAACGTCGTCGTCGTCGTCGTCGTCGTCGTCGTCATCGTCGTCGTCGTCGTCGTCGTTTTCGTCGTCTTCGTCGTCGTTGTCGTCGTCGTTGTTGTGCGCGCGCCACGATGCAACTTCTCCCTCTTTTCACTAATAAACGCTGCTAATGATCGCCACACTATTTGTCGTCTGTCGCTTTCACTGTGTATATTCATCCACGGTAACTACAAAATGCGCCCCGCTCTGTCGTGTCGCTTGTTGTATGTCAGCGCGTAGCGATTCTCGCCAACAATATTTTCACCTTCGCCATCGTGTCACACCGTTGTATCGTGATGTATACACACACACGTACACACATGTACAGATTTTACATCATAAACACGCACACACACGCGCTCGCGCGCGCCACATATATACGCAGGCCACCGCAGCACGGCAGACGTTCATAAATCATCCGACCCTGCGAGCTACTTCCGCCCCCGCTTCCTCATTCGCGTTCCGTCTCGCTGAGTGTGCGAGACAAGGAGCCGACATTGGTTGATGTGCATCGTGGTTGACGTAAGTCGTCGCGATTTAGCGCAGCCACAGCGTTTCTGCGATTGGTAAAAATATTTTGTTTTTGTTTTGTGAAGTATCGCACCACGGGTTGTGTATAAACTCTTCACTTAATGCTCATTAGGCTGAATAAAAGCAGGACTACAACGAGAGAAAGAGAGAGAGAGAGAAGGAACGAGCATAAGACTTGCGGAATACCCTGTGAAAGTGCAATTTCTAAAAATCAGTAACGTCCCATTGAAAACAACTTGATGTGTGAGACTGCACTTCCTGCACTTTGTTTCTCTTTCTTTCTCTCTCTCTCTCTTGTGCGTTGCGCAAAAATCTGTGATCTCGGCATTAAATCCGTTACAAATCGCGAATGAAGAAACTTTAAACGTAAAAATCGCGAATTTTTGCAACTATCTTTGATATGTAATCACGAACTGCTGTAGTTGGATAATTTTCATGTTGCAATAGAGAGAGATTAAGACCGGGAAGACGTAGGAAAAAACTTTCAATAAGCGAATTGACAAATCACAGGCAAGCTTAGAAGAAAGTGTCCCATACGTTCTTTACACGGTTCGCCTGTGATTGGCCAATTTGCTTTCTGCTGAATGTTTTTTCACGTGTCGTTGGCTTTAACAAGCGTGTGTGTCTTATCACTACGGCAAACCACTTGTGAAGGCAAACTTAAAAAGATCTTAAAAATTAGATTCAACTATGACCGGTCATAGTCGAAAGCAACTGCGAAGTGATGTTTTGTTAAAAACCGTAATTATGTCAAGCATTAATCGTTATTCTGGTATGCGCAATTGCAGTTTTTTTTTTTTTTAATCAAGTGTTTAAAGATATTGCTGCTACGTCCTAGACCGCGTTTCTGAGGAAATTCGCGTCCGGAATTGAAATTTGTTTAACTAATATGTAAAACACATTTGTATGTATGTACAAAGGCTTCGTATATTGTGACATGTGGAAGGTGAAAGTTACCCATCCCTTCTCTCTCAATCATGTTCGAATCGAATGAAAACTATTTCAGAACAGAAACAGCGTACAAACAGGGCAGATGCGAGCCAAAACGCAAGATACAACTTGCGCCAGAACTACAAACTATTTACGAGTTCTAAAAACGTATAGTTTGAATTTTTGATCTCAATTTTTTGCGCGTGCAGCCACCCCTATAAGTATTTTTGTCTAAATATTCTTCAATAACGAGAAAGGGAATAATTGCAATTATATGCAAATATTGTGTTTACACACATGTAGATTTAAAAAATACAAAACTTTTATATGACTTTCAACTCTTAGAATAAAATCTGCCGACTCTGTCGCTTAGTGATGAAATGTTCTTCATCGGACATTTCTGGATTTAGGAGCTTGTAAAATACACAGATTTTAATTTTTTGAGATCCACTCTCGGGATTGGGGATTGCAAATTCACAATGTACAAGAGAAAGACGTCTACATACAGATCGTGACGACATATAAAGAATTATCATATCGGTTTTTATCATCATAAGATTGTATACATAAAAAGTTTATTGTTCACATAAATGCGGAACAAAGAACAGATCAATTTTACTATGTTTATTTTATCACATAGTGTACAAGTATATAATTGATTATTTTAATCAATTTATTATACAGTCATATATACTTATAAATATACTTATAAATGTAAACATAACATAACTGTTACGGTGATCTTTATACACATTATACAAAATAATATTTACAAGTGGTTTACATAACTATACATACACATGTCATAAATATTTTTCTATAATATAATGTTATAAATATATATACGTATATACATAAATTGAGCAAATATATTATAAACTATTCAGCATGATATATTCACTTACAGTCCTTATTATATCAGATCAGAATATCAAGCTGAATAATAGCGTTATAACATTACATATACAAGCAAATAGATTAAATTAGTAATTAAATTTATTTAGTACCTATTTATTAAGGCTCCCGATTATTCGCGTCTCAGTCACGTTTGAATTTTGACGTCAGAGGCGAAAAATCATATGAACTTTTCTCACACAGTTTACATCTAAATAAATTAAATTCTTATACACTCCGTCATCGATATTTAAAAAGGCAAAAAGTGACCAGATCTGTGCCGCAAACTTTCTTTTTCATTTATTATAGATTAATATAATTTACATAAGATCTTGATCAATTGATGTAAGATCTCTTTTTCTCTGCAAATATACTCTATACAAAAATTGAATTATATATAAATTAATTCTATTATAATT